GAGGAGGACCGAAAGGCGGTGGTGCGCTGATGCGCGAGCTGAGTGCGGAGCTGTGAGGCGAAGCTGTTTGCAGCACCTGCTGCCCCCTCCCTTCCTTCACTCCCTCCTCCACCACCTTGTGGTCCCTGTCTGGGCTCCTGGGCCATTTAGAAAACGGAGAGTTGGCAAAATGCGCAGGCTTTGGCTTGAGCTTGTTATCTTGGACGGAGGAGGAAGAGGGAGCAGGTAGGAGCCCTTTGGCAGGGGGAGATTCCTGTCCGCCCGCTCAATCTTTCGTCCTTTCTGAAGTGGGGTAAACTGTTGACTTGCCTGACAATTAATCCCTGCTAGACCTGGATCCAAAAATCGACGCTTCTAATGCGCGCGGGGGTGGAGAAAAGTCGGAGTACCGTGGCCTGCCATTGCCTCCTACCCGCTTCGCCTCCCGCCCTGGGCTTGGAGGATGCCCTGTACTAAGGCCAGAGCCGGTTTGTGGTGGTGTTAACCCCGCTGAGCTGTCTGTGGGATCCGGGAGTAGGGGGTGATTTATTTTATGGGATTCCTAGCGTGCAAAGCTGGTGAAATCAGGACCAGGTCTGGGAGCAGCAGGCTAAAACCTAGCAGCCTTCTATGATGTGTAACAAATAGTTGAGTAAATTTGGGCTACAAAACAGAGATTTTGCTACCTCCCTCCTCCCCATCCCCAAGCAATTCATCTTCTGGAGCTGGCTTCTAGCTGAGTCTCCTGCTACCTCCTGCTCCAGCTGTCACTTCCCAGGTTACAGGTAAATCACAGGCCAGCTAGGAGAAGGACCAATTATGGTTCTGTTTTGCTGCCTTTGTTTCTCGACTGCTATTGTAGGCGCTTACAGCTGCTTTATTTGTTATCGAAGGAGGGAATAGCCCTTTGTGTCTCTGATCTAATTAAACCTGTTTGGCTGCATTCATCCACCAGGTCACACGTTGGCTGGTGTCACCCCATAAAGTATCCACTACAGAAGCAGCCAAACAGGGTCAAATATATATATTTCACTGTCATCATTGACTGTTAATGATGTACCACACTCAGCCCTGGTCTGGGACTTTGAAGAAATATCAGTCTCCTTTTGGAAATGTAGATCTAGTTCCTGTGTTTAATAATCTTGAAAGTTTAGTAATAAGCTCTGTGTTTATATTCTCCTGGTTGTGGAAAAACGGAGCAAGATAAATGTGGGTAAAGACATGTAACAGAGAGCCTGCAATACGTAACAGATTTGGATTTTCTTTTATGCTTAACACAGTAGCGAAAGTTGAAAGAAACGACCAATGTGCAGGCAGCAGTAGGGAAGAACAGAACAGCACTGTCTAGCAGCTCTGGGGGCTGGGGAAGCCAGCTCTCTTTTTCACTCCCTCATCTCTGTCTCCCTCCTTTGCCCTCAAATGGAAAGTGAACGTCAGATCACACTGAGGCATAGCAGTGACCAGCTGTTGTTACAAACGTCTTTGTGAGAAATCTGAAGTTGAGGGAAGAACGCCTGTAAAATCCATACCAAGAGTAGCATTCTCCATCTAGAGAAGAGATTTTTGATAATAGGGCTTGAAAATGAACTAGAAGAGGAAATAGGTCTACTCCAGATGCTGCTTTCCAGTGCAATGCAAACGTTTTTACAGGGTACCAGCTGTGTGAAATATGTTATGCTTCAGAATGGTGATTCCGTTGGAAGTTTTCTTAGGGTTATCATGCTTAAAGTAAAGCAACTACCCACCCGTGAAGGTTTCAAAAAAGGGAATCACATCAACTGTTGGATCTTTCCTGAAAATGGCAGTGTTGTGGATAAGAGTTTTTAATGCCCGGGCAATGGCTACATTGGCACTTAAAAAAATATATATATATATAAGGACACGGGGAGGGAGAAGGGTAAGCTGGGACGAAGTGAGAGACTAGCATTGACTTATATATACTACCAAATGTAAAATAGATAGCCAGTGGGAAGCAGCCGCATAGCACAGGGAGATCAGCTCAGTGCTTTGTGACCAACTAGAGGGGTGGGATAGGGAGGGTGGAAGGGAGACCCAAGAGGGAGGAGATGTGGGGATATATGTATATGTATAGCTGATTCACTTTGTTATAAAGCAGAAACTAACACACCATTGTAAAGCAATTATACTCCAATAAAGATGTTAAAATATATATATATATTTAATAATATTTGTTTCTCCTTAGGAATAAGATGTTAGAACTATTTTGTCCTGTACAATTTAATGATTAATTTTTTATTTATTTTGTTTTTTAATTTTTTTGCGGTACGCGGGCCTCTCACTGTTGTGGCCTCTCCCTTTGCGGAGCACAGGCTCCGGACGTGCAGGCTCAGCGGCCATGGCTCACCGGCCCAGCCGCTCCGTGGCATGTGGGATCTTCCCGGACCGGGGCACGAACCCGTGTCCCCTGCATCAGCAGGCGGACTCTCAACCACTGTGCCACCAGGGAAGCCCCCATGATTAATTTTATAGGATAAGAAGAAAAGAAGCATGATGGTCAAGACTTCACAGAGGAAGCAACGTGATTGTAGAAACCAGTGCAAAGCGTGGCTTAAGCACCTCCATCCTTTTGAGAATGTCTGTACATATTGAAGAGGCTAGTTACTAGAATCACATCCTATCCTGGCAATGAGATCAGATGCCATCAATGGGAGGAAACTTTGGATAAGCCCCAGCAAGTGCTCTGGCAGAAGAGACTGCATGGATTCCAGGTCTTCAGTGGAACCAGAGAACCCTTAAGTACTTTGGATCTTGCCAAAGCCTTGCAAAAACTTGCAACTAGTCGCACAGGTGAATCTCTGCCAGGAGTTCTCACAGGTGGTCTGAACTCCAGCCCCAGGCCCACCCCTACCCAGTCTTCAGATTTGGCAGAGATGATTCCAGCTGGGTATCTCACAGCTCCTCTGCAAACAATTTCCGGTGACTGAGGAAGATATCAGGAAACAGGAAAGTGAAGATGGCAAGAGAGAGACTGAGGATAGCATTGATTGCAGACAGGCTAGCTATCAAGGCAGAAAAAGTGAGGGGCTAAGAAGGATGTCCTGACAAACACTGTTGAAAAAAAAGAGAAAATGGTGCAGATGAAATGGTACACCACAGCACTTTATTAATGACTCTCTTCAGTGTCTGTAAGTTTTTCTTGCTTTGAGCTTTTGAAACTTTAAAATAAACCAGTACTTTTCTTTCATTAGATTCTTTTGTGTGGCATAGAAAATATAGACAGTCATCTATTTATATTTGTTTGTTTTTGCGATACGCAGGCCTCTCACGTTGCAGAGCACAGGCTCTGGACGCACAGGCTCAGCGGCCATGGCTCACGGGCCCAGCCGCTCCGCGGCATGTGGGACCTTCCTGGACCGGGGCACGAACCCGTGTCCCCTGCATTGGCAGGCGGACTCTCAACCACTGCGCCACCAGGGAAGCCCTGTTTGTTTGTTTTTTGCTGGCCTCCCCGACGAGGGACCAAACCCGGGCCCACGGCAGTGAAAGCGCTGAGTCCTAACCATTGGACTGCCAAGGAATTCCCTAGACAGTGATCTTTTTGAGGGGAGTGATTTGGTTTCTGGTGAGAAGAGGAGACCTTTCCTCTTCATGTTGTTATCTCATTTTCCTCTCTATGTATGTTATTTATTTGTATTTTAAAGTCAATAGAGAGTTATCAAAGTTATGGGATTATTTAGTATTTTTGCCCTTACAATCACAGAATAAAACCTACCTTTTCACAATAGATTATACTTTTTTTGTATAATACCCAGTAGATTCCACAATAATATTTCATTAAAGAGCTGTTATAATTATGTTCTCAAATAAGATATCTACTACTAGGTCTCTATTTTTGTGTTGTTGCATGCTAATTCAGAGTTGCATATAATGAGATACCAAACTTTTCCTTAGTTTTACGGTACGCGGGCCTCTCACTGTTGTGGCCTCTCCCGTTGCGGAGAGCGGACCGGGGCACGAACCCGTGTCCCCTGCATCGGCAGGCGGACTCTCAACCACTGCGCCACCAGGGAAGCCCCTTTTTTCCTTATTTTTAAAGATGTTTATGTGTTGAAAATTTGATTCATGAAAATTGACATGCCATTTGGGGTATCATGATATCAAAAGAGACTCTTTTCAGCATCATTAATCTAACAAGTCACTGCTTTTTGTGATTTATTTGCCTATTTGCCTCATCAAGCATGTTGTATTATTCAAATCCTCTTTATCATGACTTACTTTTGTCTGAGGGATTTATAGTTTCTGAGAGCGAGGTGTTAAACAGTAATAGAGCATCTGTAGTAAAACAATAATAGAGCATCTGTAGTATTTGTTTCATGCCTGGGATGCTTCACACTGCCTGTTAGAGAGTTTCTGCTTTAACTGTTTGGTTAGATTCAGTGCAAAAAATAATGAAAAAAAGACTATCTTTTTTTCTGTCAGACCTTTCCCCTGAGTTTTATTAATCTTTAAATACAGAGCAGACCCTATCTCTCTAGAGTTTGGTATTACTCAGGGATTCAGCCTTCCCAGATACCTAGTCATTTCAGCTCCCAAGTCCCAAGGCTGACTGCAGAGTCATGTCAGACCCACTCATTCCTTCTTGGTCTGTTTCCCACCTTGGAGGACCTGTGATGAGGGAAAGGAGTCACCAAGGCAGATTTTCTGGACGTCCTGGTGAATCTGAACATCAGAGAATGAAGTAGTTCAAGGGGAACTTGAGACTGTCAGGGCTTCAGGGAAGGGGGTGCAGAATATGGAGGAATAAAGATGGGGTGATGGCTGCGCAGGAGTCAAGGAGAGACGTGTGTAGTGCGTGACTAGGTAGGCAAACCTCACACTTAAGTGGGATGTTGATTTTGTTCATTGACAACGTCTGTGCCTGTTTCACCAATCCTTGTGTCCCTGAGGGATGATATGGCGTGAAACCATAAGACAGAAGTTGCAGTTGTCTTTAGGACATAATGAAGGGGAAAAATTTTATCTCAGTACAGGGTGAACCAGGTAGGGGCCAAGTCAAGAAAGACCCAGAGGTTGTGTCTGACCAATGTGGTTTTTTTCTGTTCCGGCCAAGCTCCTTTGGAACCTGACTGGGAAAAGGGGACTCAAGCAGATGTCACTGCAGCTTCCTCAGGTCCAGGTGTGGCAGGTAATAATAGTCCAGGTGTTGTTGCTGAGCCTCACAGTCTTCCTCCTCCTTCTGCCTGGAGACAGTGACCTGTGAGGGTGAGCAGAGGGCATCAGAATGGACCAGTCATTGCCAAGTATTGGGGGTTACAGGGGAGGGACATGGCCACAGCCACAGAGACCTGATGTTCCTGTGTGTCTCTCTTCCTTTTTTCTCTTTTTCTCTTAATTTTCTCTCCCAGCCCTTTTCCTCTCTTTTCTCCCTCTTTCACATCTTTCTCTTCTTCTCTTTTCCTTTTAACTCTCTTTTTTTTTCTACCATTTTCTCTCTGATATCCCCTTCATATCTTCTGTTTTCCTCCCCCCACCCCAGCTTAACTGATGTATAACTGACATACAGTAAACTGCATACATTTAAAGTGAATGATTTGATAAGTTTGGATTATAAACTTATTGAACCATCCCCAAAATTGAAATAAGGAATGCTCATTATCCCCCCAATCGTCCTCATGTTCTTTTGCAATTCCTCCTCCCCTGCTATTTACAAACACATTCTTATTCCCAGACAACCACTGGTCTGATTTCTGGCCTCAGAGATTAGCTAGTATTTTCAAGAGTTTGTTTATAAATGGAATCATACAGTAAGTACTCTTTTTCATCAGACTTCTTTCATTCAGCATAATTATTTTGAGATTAATCATTGTATGTGTTAATCCAGTACTATTGCTAAATAGTATTGAATTGTGTGGATATACCACAGTTTGTTTATCCCTTCACCTGTTGATGGACTTCTGGGTTGTTTTTAGTCTTTGGCTAGTACAGATATTATCATGAACATCTGTGTACGAGTCTTTGTGTAGACATATGTTTTCATTTCTCTTAGATAAATTCCTAGGACTGGATGGTTGCATAGATGTATGTAACTTCTTTTAAAATTTATTTTTAATTGAACTATAGTTGGTTTACAATGTTGTGTTAATTTCTGCTGTACCGCAAGGTGACTCAGTTATACACATATATACATTCTTTTATATTCTTTTCTATTATGGTTTAATCTCAGGATATTGGATATAGTTCCCTGTGCTATACAGTAGGACCTTGTTTAGCCATTCTATATGTAATAGTTTGCATCTACTAACCCCAATGTAACTTTGAAAGATGTGTCCATGTTATTTTTTACCAGCACTATATGTGAGTTCCAGTTGCTTCATATCTTCACCAACACTTGTTATCTTTTTAATTTTATCCATTCTCATGTGTAGTGGTATCTCATTATGACTTTCATTTACATTTCCCTAATGACTAATGCTGTTAAGAAAAGGAAAAGGCAAACTACACTCAGACTAGGAGAAAATATTTGCAAAACATATCCCCAGCAGAAGACAGGTATTTGTAATATATAAAGGGTTCTTACAACGTGATAGTAAGAAGACAACAGCATTTTCTTTCTAACCAGGAAACAGCAGATCAGGCACGTGATGAGCACCAGGAGTCCTGCCAGGCAGATGAGGATGATGGTCCAGAAGGGGAGGTCTGGGGAGACAAGTGCTTGTGTGAGCCACCTCCTGTCATTCCCCTAGGGCTCCTGATCCCCCCTACTGTGCCTCAAAGTCCTTAGCATGGGTTGGCCAACATTCATCATCATCCAATACCCTGGGTACATGGTTCCCTTTAGTGAAGCAGAGAAGCAAAATATTCCCTCCCCATCCTGGGCCGGAGCGTCTTTGAGGCTTACCCGAATTCTCAGTCAAGACATCGTTTCTATTGGGAGAATACCCTGAAAGTGAATGAAATGGAGAATGCATGTGAGTGTGTTTTACTTTTTTAAATAAAACTTTTCAAATACACAGAAAAATAGAACCACATTATAAACGTCCATCACCTAGAAATAACAATATATAATTTATCCAGTTAAAACAGTATCATACCCAATGTATAAATTAGTAACACTTGCTACCCTTGCATCATCCCATAATTCCATTGAAATATTAAAGTCATGTAGCCATAATGATGATTCACTCCATTTTAGTTTGCATCACTGGAAAATGAGGATATTTTGCTACATAATAACAAAGCCATTATCACACTACAAGAGTGATATTTCAAATCATACCTCTGGGAATGGATGACTGATGATGGGCTGGACCCTCTTATGCTAGTGGAGGGGAGAATGGATCATCACAGTTGACAAGACCATGGGATCTCTTTAAATTTATAAATTCCCACTCAAAACTCTCTTCTCTGGCTATGAATACATTCTCTCCCTTCTCCTTTACTGAGTTTTTAATGCTTATTTTCCAGGATTCACCTATACTGTAACTTCCTCCAGGAAGCCTTCTGATTACCACTCCCAAGTATGGATTGGTTCACATCAAATAATTTATAATTTTAAATTGCCTATTCTTGTTATTTCCAACTGCAACACAAACTCTGTGAGGGTAGGGACACATAGCACCCATTGGGCAATGGGAGAGGGTTTCAGGTCCCCCTGCTCGTACAACCCCAGGCAAATTCTTAAGATGTGCTGCCTGATACGAGCAGGAACAAGTGCTTTTTAATTATTTTATTTTATTTATTTATTTATTTTTCTACATCTACTTGGAGGTTTATTCTTACTTCCATTCAAACCAGGTTTACAAAATATATGCTGTGATTAATTAATTAATTTTTTACTTTTTAAAAATTTTTTAAAAATTAAAAAAATTTTTTTAACATCTTTATTGGAGTACAATTGCTTTACAGTGTTGTGTTAGTTTCTGCTGTATAACAAAGTGAATTAGCTATATATCCCCATATCCCCTCCCTCTTGGGTCTCCCTCCCACCCTCCCTATCCCACCCCTCTAGGTGGTCACAAAGCATCGAGCTGATCTCCCTGTGCTATGCAGCTGCTTCCCACCAGCTATCTGTTTCACATTTGGTAGTGTATATGTCAATGCTACTTTCTCACTTTGTCCCAGCTTCCCCTTCCCCTTCCCCGTGTCCTTAAGTCCATTCTCTACGTCTGCGTCTTTATTCCTGTCCTACCCCTGGGTTCATTAGAACCATTATTCTTTTAGATTCCATATATATGTGTTAGCATACGGTATTTTTCTCTTTCTGACTTACTTCAACACGTGCCTTTTTAAATTAAAATTAATTTTAATTAAGTGAAATTTTAAAAATCTGGTAGTCAGTACTATTAAAAATCATTAACCATAAAAGCCAGTCACAATAGCCGTGCTTAATATGCTCAAGAGCCTCATGTGGCTTATGCACTGGATAGCACAGATATAGAACATTTCCTTCACTAAGAGAGTTCTATTGCATGGTGCAGTCTAGGAGAAGGCGAGCGTCTCCTATATCCCACTGAATGTCCTTTCCTCTCCCTCAGTAGTGGGTAAAATCTGTGGGAGTATGCACCTCCTGCCAACCTGGGAAAGTTCAGTGCTGACTCATCCCAAAGTCTCCAGATTCCCAGGAAGGTCCCCAGATGAGGAAATTGGAAGCCCCCATTTCTGCCCCAATGATCAGGGAGCCTTACCATCCACAAGGACACTATTCCTGTCCAGGATAAAATTCTGCAGCTGGGTACCATTCTTGGTCAGCCACAGGAATTCCTCATAGATGGCAACTCTGTCCAGTCTCTGAGCCAATGGTGAGAAGTTACACTGAGCATCTACCCCAGTGTGGTTGCTGTGGGGCTCAGACCTGGAAGGACACAAGGGATGAACAAGGATATCTGGAATTCTACCCCGATTCCTGGTTCCCTGCTTCTGGTCCTGTCTAGGAGAACTTTCTGCAATGATGTAAACATTTGTGTCTGTACTATCCAATACAGTCATTATTTGCCCCATGTTGTTATCGAACACTTAAAATATGGCTAGTGTGAGTGAGATGCTGAATGTCTCATTTTATTTAATTGAATTAATTTATAAATAACTAGCTGCAGGGAGAACATTTTGAAATGTTGGAGTAAGAACTTCTGAAAATCTGTGAAAACAATGAGAACACTGGCAAACATGGTCAAAATCAACTTTTTCAGAAGTCTAGAAATTAACCGAAGGCTTGTAACAATTCAAACAGCATTTAGTTAAGAAAAAATGTTTGAATCTTGGTAAATGGAGTAAACGTTATGGTGTTATAACTTGCACAGTTCTCATCCTGCTCTCACAAGGGGCTCAGTAACTTTGAAAACCATAATGGGTTTAGAGCTCCCCAAAAGACCCATCACCATTGAATTGTCATTATTTGACCTATCTGGCAGCTCCTTGAAAAAGCCTTATTTTCGGAGCTTGTCTTTATTTGACTCAGAGTTTTATTGGAGTATAATTGCTTTACAGTGTTGTGTTAGTTTCTGCTGTATAACAGAGTGAATCAGCTATATGTATACATATATCCCCATATCCCCTCCCTCTTGCATCTCCTTCCCACCCTCCCTATCCCACCCCTCTAGGTGGTCACAGAGCACCGAGCTGATCCTCCCATGCGATGCAGCTGCTTCCCACTAGCTATTTTACATTTGGTAGTGTATATATGTCAATGCAACTCTCTCACTTCGTCCCAGCTTCCCCTTCCCCCTCCCTGTGTCCTCAAGTCCATTCTCTACGTCTGCGTCTTTATTCCTGTTCTGCCCCTAGGTTCTTTAGAACCTTTTTTTTTTTTTTTTAGATTCCATATATATATGTTAGCATACAGTATTTGGTTTTCTCTTTCTGACTTACTTCACTCTGTATGACAGACTCTAGGTCCATCCACCTCACTACAAATAACTCAGTTTCATTTCTTTTTATGGCTGAATAATATTCCATTGTATATATGTGCCACATCTTCTTTATCCATTCATCTGTCAGTGGGCACTCAGGTTGCTTCCATGTTCTGGCTATTGTAAATAGTGCTGCAATGAACATTGTGGTACATGTCTCTTTTTGAATTATGGTTTTCTCAGGGTATATGCCCAGTAGTGGAATTGCTGGGTCATATGGTAGTTCAGAGCTTGTTTAGAGAGGAAAGCCTAACCCCATGGCACTTGCCACAGTCAGTGGTAATTGTTTTACACTATATCTGCCCAAGGGAGCAATACCAGTTGAGGCAAGCAAGAGGTGAGCTAATAATTTAAAAGAAAAAATTGGGGAATGAGATGTCTACAGGGGGCTTTGAAAAGCTCCAATGTATTCCTGGGTATCCAGAAGACCACAAGAGTGCTGTGCAAGACTTGAGAAGGTCTTAAACTCTTACCTCTAGCTGAAAGGTTGGCTTAATATCTAAAAAAATTGATCAATGTAACATACCATATTAATAGAATAAAGGACAAATACCACGTTTTCTTTTTTTTTCCACATGTTTTCAATAGACACAAAAAACCTGACAAAATATAATTTCATGATTAAAAAAAACTCAACAAACTAGGAATAGAAAGAAACTTTACAAACCTGATAAAGAGCATTCATGCAAAGACTACCCCTAACATCATACTTAATGGTGGAAGAGTGAAAACTTTTCCCTTAAGACCAAGGACAAGACAAGTATGTCTGCCCTCCTCTTATATGTTATTCACATCATACTGAAGGTTCTTATGGGGCCAATTAGGAAAGAAAAAGAAATAAAAGGCATTTAGGTTGGAAAAGAAGATGTTAAACTCTCTATTTGCAGATGACATGATACTGTATATAGAAAAATCCCAAGAAACACACACACACACACACACACACACACACACACTACTAAATCCTATTAGTTCAGCATGATTGTAGGATATAAGAGCAATATGCAAAAATCTATATTGTATTTCTATACACTAGTTATTAACATTCTGAAAATAAAGTTAAGAAAGCAGTTCCATTTACAATAGCATCAAACAATGTACAAAACACTTTGGAATAAATTTAACAAAAGAAATGTAAGATTTGTATATTCAAAACTATAAAACTTTGTTCAAAGACTTTTAAAAAGACCTAAATAAATGAAAAGGCATCCTATGTTCATGAATTGGGGATTTAGTGTTATTAAGATGATAACACTCCCCAAATTGACCTAAAGATTAAATTCAATCCCTATCAAAATCCCAGCTGGCTCTTTTGCAGAAATCGATAGCTGATACTAAAATTAATATGGAATTTCAAGGGACTCGAATAACCAAACCAATATGGAAAAAGAACAACGCTGGACAGCGCCACTTCCCAATTGCAAAACTTACTACTAAACTACAGTACTCAAAACACTGCCACTGGCAAAAAGACATACAGATCAATGGAATAAAATTTACTGTCTGTAAGCAAAGTCATGCAATTATGGACAACTGATTTTCAGCAAAGTTTCCAAAACAACAGGGAAAGGATAGGCTACTTAACAAATAGAGCTGGGACAACTAGATATTCACATGCAAAAGAAGGAAGTTGGACCCCTATCTCAGCATATACAAAAATTAACTGAAAATAAAGATCTAAATGTAAGAGCTAAAATTATATAACCTTTGGAAGAAAACATAAGAGTAAATCTTCATAACCTTGGATTAGTCATTGCTTACTTAGATATGGTACTAAAAGCACAAGAATCCAAGGGAAAAAGTAGATAAATTGGATTTCACCAAAATGAAAAACTGTTGTGCTTTAAAAGATACTATCATGAACATGAAAATCCAACCTTTCAAATGGGAGAAAATATTTGCAAATCATGTATCTTGTAAGAGTCTAGTATCCAGACTATATTAAGAATTTTATACCCCAACATTAAAAAGACAAAATTTTAAAAATGGGTAAAGAGCTTGAATAAACAATTCTCCAAAGAAGATATAAAAATGGCCAATAAATATATGAAAAAATGCTCAACATCACTAATCATTAGGGAAATGCAAATCAAAACTACAATGAGCTACCACTTCACACCCACTAGGATGGCTATAGTGGGGAAAAAAAGGGCAATAATAATCGTTGGTGAGGATGTGAAGAATTTGGAACCTTCATACATTGCTGAAGGGAATATAAAATGGTGGAACCTCTGTAGAAAATAATTCAGTAGTTCCTCAAAAATTAAACATAGTTACCCTATGACCCTACAATACCCATTCCTATTTATATGCCCAAAAGCATTGAAAACATAAGTTCATGTTAAAACTTGGATATTAATGATCTAACAGCATTATTCATAATAGCCAAAAAGTGGAGACAATCCAATGTCCATCAGTGGATGTACAGATAAACAAAAGTGGTACAGCCATCCAATAGAATATTATTCAGTCCTAAAAAGGAATGAAGGACTGATATATGTTACAGCATGGATGATCCTGAGAACATTATGCTAAGTGAAAGAAATCAGTCACAAAAGACCACATAGTGTATGATTCCATTTATATACATTTCATATAAATGGAATGCCTATTGTTCAGAATAGGCAAATCTACAGAGGGAGAAAGTAAATTGTTTGCTAGGGGGTGGGGGTGAGGGAAAAATGAGTGACTGCTAATGGGTGGGTACAAGATTTCTTTTTGGTGTGATGAAAATGTTCCTCCCTCCATTAGGTAGTGGGATAGTTGCAGCACTATATAAATATACCACTAAATTACATACTTCAAAAAGGTAAATTTTATGGTATGTGAAACATATCCCAAGAGGTGTATAAAAGTGTTTAATTGCCTCTTATGGCTAGTAGCTACAGTATTGGACAGCACGGTTAGACTGCTGGATTCCAAGTCATCTGGTTCTAACCCCTAGCTCCCATGGATTCTGCCTTCAGTGGCCGATTTCTTAAGACATGAATGCTACACTCTATATTCCATGGCCCCCAGCACCAGCCACCTTCATGCCTACCTAGGTTGACACAAGCTCTTCTGAGTTTCTAGCCAGTTGTACTCGCTGGTTCAGGAACAAGCTGATGTTTGGGTAACAGCTCTATATTCCTAGGGCTCTCCTCTATAACAGCTAGGAACTGAGAGACTATGGCAGTGGGACACTTTCAAAGGACAGAACAAACCTCCAAAATGATTGGGTCTTGAGTTGGAACTCACCTGAATGCTGAAACTTGACAGTCAGAAAAATAACTCTTGATGCTACTGTTTCGGAAGAGCTGGTTGAGCTGAAAGACAGGGCAACATTTCCTTGGTCAGAATCCATGGCACAGTGGCATCGGAGAATGCCAATTAACCAAAGAACACACTTCCCCATCTTTTTTTTTTTTTTTTTTTTTTGTCGGTCCAGTGGTTAAGAATCTGTGCTTCCACTGTAGGGGGCATGGGTTTGATCCCTGGTCAGGGAACTAAGATCCCACATGCTGAGTGGTACGGCCAAAAAAAACCCAAATAAACACGAAAACGAAAAAGAAAACACTGGCCCAGGGCCTGTTCCAGGGTATGACTTGGGCTAGCAAGTGAACCCCTCTATGGCTGTCTCTTAGTTTGTAAAATGGGAATAAGAACCTGTCTTCATGAAATGTTAAAAAAAAGTCACCCTCCAGGTAACCAACAAGGACCTACTGTATAGCACAGGGAACTATACTCAATATTTTGTATTAACTTTAAGGGAGAGAATCTGAAGAAGGATATATATATCTGAATTGCTGTGCTGTACACCCAAAATTAACATGATATTGTAAATCAACTATACTTCAGTTTTTAAAAATGTCCAGCATATATACACTACCAAATGTAAAATAGATAGCTAGTGGGAAGCAGCCGCATAGCACAGGGAGATCAGCTCGATGCTTTGTGACCACCTAGAGGGGTGGGATAGGGAGGGTGGGAGGGAGACGCAAGGGGGAGGAGATATGGGGATATATGTATGTGTATAGCTGATTCACTTTGTTATAAAGCAGAAACTAACACACCATTGTAAAGCAATTATACTCCAATAAATATGTTAAAAAAAAAAAGGCCAGATTGCCAAACTGAAAAAAAATAAATGTGCACACCAAAAAAAAGTCACCCTCTGACTACCCAGTGTCCATAGGTCAGTCTCTACATGGGAACAGGGTGGACAAACAACCCCATTCTCACCGCATCCTCAATATTTCTCTTGTTCCGCTGGTGTTTGGGGGTGCCTGGGGCTATGTCCTGGGAATAGATTAAGTTGGTGACAGTGAAATTCAGCTGGAAGTTCTGGAAGCTGGGACTGATTGTTGGTTGGTCTGTTGGTATATGAATTGATGGCTCCACTTCTAGAATAAAAAGAAAGTATGAAGTTTTTAACAAAGAAGTCATTACAGCCAGTCTACTTATTCCTGGCAATGTGGACTGAGGTGGGATTTTAGAAGTGGGCTACACTCAAAAAGAATGAAATAATGCCATTTGCAGCAACATGGATGGACCTAGAGATCATCACACTAAGTGAAGCAAGTCAGAAAGAGAAAGACAAATACTGTATGATATCACTTATATGTGGAATCTAAACTTCGATACAAATCAGCATATCTATGAAGCAAAACCAGACTCACAGACAGAGAACAGATTTGTGGTTGCCAGGGGGGAGGGGGATGGGGGAGGGAGGGAATGGGAGTTTGGGATTAGCAAAGGCAAGCTATTATATATAGGATGGATAAACAAGGTCCTTCTCTACAGCACAGGGAACTATATTCAATGTCCTGTGACAAACCATAATGGAAAAGAATATGAAAAAGAATATATATATGTATAACTGAGTCATTTTTCTGTACAGAAGAGGTTAACACAACATTGTAAATCAACTGTACTTCAATAAAATTTAAAAAAAAAAAAGTGGCCTACAGAAGACTGTTCATCTACCTGTCCACCTTGAATCCATTCATCTGTCTGCCTGTCCAACTCTCCACCAAGCATTATGAGAGTTCACTAGGATGTGGTGAAGAGGAGCTTGGGCTTCTCTGGGGCAGAGTTGGCAGGTGCAGGTGCTGACCATCTCAGTGGGCATCTATCACACACCTTTGTTGACCTAGGTTCCTAATGTGTCTTCTTGCCTCTGTTCTTCCTCCCCGTCCCCAATCATTGTCCTTGTAACACGGAGAGGATGCGCTTTCTAAAGTAGAATTCTGGGTGTGTTCTGCTCCTCCACAAACCATTCCAGTGCCCAGGAAAGTCCCTGCCCACATCTTCAGCTACAGCTTTCCCATGTCTCATGTCAAGGTGTATGCTCCAGCCACACCAAACTTCTTAAAGCCTCCTCCAATGACATGTTCTTTCTATATTCTAGGTTATAGACACATGTAGCACAGCTGCCCATCTCTTTCCCCCAACTAGGTCCTGTTCTCCTTCAGATCTCAGTTTCTTCATCACTTCCTCTAGAAAACTTTCCAAGAGAGAATTGTGTATCCCTTTTGGGGGTTCCCACAGACTTTTGAAATTCCCGTTATAGTGGTTATCACAGTGTATCATCAGTGCCTATTTATTTTCATGGTGTATACATTGAATGAATGAATGAATCAACCAATGCATGACTCATAACTGCAGCCTAAGAAGGAAACACAGGATCCTTTACATTCTGGGTTAGAAAAACTGACATGTAAAATAACCATTTCCTTGGTTGCAATCGCTGCATTTTCTCTTCCTGCATCCTGTTGGATGACACATTGCCATGAATCATCAACATGGGCTTCCAGAAAGCCCCCCTTTTTCCTCTGCAGCCTCTATCCATTTCACTGCTACCCAGAAGCCCTATCCTTCTTCATAAAACCATCTTTTCCAGCCATGAACCTATTCCCCCACCTTATCTCATACCTGTCACATGCACATCTGTCAACTGGTAGGTGGCACCCAGCCAGTGGGATGAGGCATTAAGGGTCTTGTCTAGAAACACTTCATCACGCTGGAGTCCAGTTTGGAGGAGAACAGTACCTTGATGCTGACTGACATGGGATCCAGCCTAGGAACAGAGGCCATGGAACTCAGCCAGCACCCAACACCAGCAGTGTCTCCTGAGTTACTGTTTTATAGAGCCAAAGACCTAGGGACAAGCACTGTGGGTATCTGACTGCCTCTTCCCCCAGGCAAGAGAAGAGACCCTGACCAAAAAGGGAAAGACTTCTAGGGGTTGGGAATAGAAGCAATAACAGTAACAATAATGAATGTCTACTGTGCACCTCTAAGAAGTGAATTCCACATTCCCTCCCCATCGCTCTGGTGGAAGCTATTATTATAATTATCCCCATTTTAAAGACAAAGGAACTGAAGTTTGGTAACATTCAAAGTCAGCATTGTGTCCCATGATCCTCCCTCTCTCTAGTATAGATGTCCTAGTTCCTCTACCCATCCCTCAGAGACCTGGGTTCAAACCCAACTTTGACAGCTCTTGGGCTGTTCACTTCTCTGAGCCTCAGTTTTCCCATGTGAACACTGCGGATGAACATTGCATTCACTTCTTGGGGGATGTTATGAGAATTAAATGAGATGATCTTGCATGAAAGTACTCAGCAGGGAGCCTGGCCACGGTGAATGTTATTATTGGACTATTATTAGCTGAAAGTTGTATTTCCCAAGAAGGAGGTGGGTGCAAGGGGTTGGTGGCTCCATGAGGTTAATCCTTTTCCTGCACCCCGAAGATGTACGGAAGGAGATGGTAAGATTAGCTGTCAGGGACATGGAGAAGAATGGGCACCATGTCAATGAACCTTCCAGTTCAAGGGTGTGCCAACAGGGGGTCAGAGCCTCAAGCCGCCAGCTCAGCCAATGCTTCCAATCTCAGCTTACATCAGGTTGGTGACCAGGCAGGAGTGGAATATGTCTTGTAGCTGGCTGCCTCTGTACAGTTTTGTGACCTGGAATAAAGGGTAGGGAGAGTGAGTGCGATGGAGTTCTCTTGGGGCTGGAGGGGGCCACTGGAGCCAGTGGAAGAACAAACATAGGTCTTGAAGCAAGGGAGACCTGAGTTCCACAACCCCTGTGTTGCCCCTCCCCCCACCCCCACTGGTAACCACTACTTTGTTCTTTACATCTGTGAGTCTACTTCTTTTTTGTTATATTCACTAGTTTGTTGTATATTTTAGATGCCACATATAAGTGAGATCATACAGTATTTGTCTTTCTCTGTCTGACTTATTTCACTTAACATCATACCCTCCAAGTCCATCTATGTCTCTGCAAATGGCAAAATTTTGTCCTTTTTTATGACTGAGTAGTATTCCATTGTGTACACACACACACACACACACACACACACACGCATCTTTTTTTATCCATTCATCTGTTGATGGACACTTAGGTTGCTTCCATATCTTGGCAATTGTAAACAATGCTGCTATGAACGCTGGGGCACAGGAATATTTTCAAATTAGTTTTTGTTTTTTTCAAGAGTGGAATTGCTGGGTCATATAGTGTTCTATTTCTAGTTTTCTGAGAAACCTCCATACTGTTTTCTGCAATGAATATACCAATTTACGTTCCTACCAACAGTGTACAAGGGTTCCTTTTATCCACATCCTTGCCCACAGAATAGCAGTAATTTCCAGGAAGGAAATGTTCATATCAATAGGAATAGAATAGAGATTAGCTATGGGGAAAAGCTGTTTTCTAGGAGATGGTCTGAGCAAGAACGTGCTGAGATGAGATTTGGAGGACAAGGAGGAACCAAGCACAGCTGAGTTCCAAAAACAGTAAGTGCATGAGAATGGAAGGATGTCTGGGCCCTGCAGGAACAGAAGTGAGGCTGGATTAGGGAGCAAGCTATACAGTGGGACAGGCTGAGGCTGTGTGGGCATCAGGGTCCAGACCATGCAAGAATCCATCAGCCACTAGATGGGATTTGAAATTTCATGACCCAGAGATTAGACCTGTGGAGCTGGGGGTGGAGGTCAGAGATGTTGGAGGTCCTGGAGAGAATGCAGAGGTCACCGGAGCTAAAAGAATAAAATTGTTGGATCCTATCATGAAGCAACGAGAGGCTAGAGTTATTAATGGAAACTTGCATCTCTACCTTAGCTTAACCTGAGACTTTTGCTGGTCTGAGGCTATTGTGGGGCTGAGTATCTGGGGGATGGGGCATACTTTCCTCCCAGGGAGCAGGCTGAGGAAGGAAGGGTCCCAGGGTCATGGGAATATCTGAGCCCTCATTACTCACTGCTTGTGGTGGGGATCCAGTACTGATGGTTATAACCTGCAGAGAGAGGCAGAAAGAAAGAGTAAGATGATGGGAGAAGGTTAAGAAAGGAGTGAAGGGGGACTTCCCTGGCAGTCCAGTGGTTAAGACTTCACCTTCCAATGCAGGGGGTGCGGGTTCATTCCCTATTCGGGGAGCTAAGACCCCACATGCCTCACGGCCAAAAAAACCAAAACTTAAAGCAGAAGCAATACTGTAACAAATTCAGTAAAGACTTAAAAAAAAAAAAGGAATGAAGTGTAGAACTGGAAACACAAGCTCACAGATCTTACTGAGTGCTTTCTTTGAGATTCATCAGTAAATAAAGATGGTTATTCTTTATGAGTTAACTGCCTCATACTCTGATGCTCCTGATAATTTCATCCTCATAACCATTAACCTTAAAGAAAATAATGATCAAATCACCCTCAATATTGTGGAGATTTACTAGGTGCCTGGAATAATATCAACCTCATCAAATAAATAATGACAGCAATTTTATGTGTGTTTCCAGCCTTATTTGTGTTCTCTTCATCCATGACATATAATTTTGTCCTTGCTCGTTGAGTTTCTCCCAATACCCAGCTCTCCAAAGACAAAGTTTGACCTTTGACAGCATAGTTCTTGGACTTCTGTAATGTTGGACTGAGAATAGTGAGGGAGATGGAGAGAGAGACAGACTTGGGGGGTCAGCCAGAGAGTATAAAGTTGGAGAAGATGAGAAAATGGAGGAAAGAGGATTTGAATAAGTATGGTTCTGGATAATGGATTGGATCCTCTTTGATGCTCTGTAAGAAATGCAAGTAAAACTTAGACTTATTTTATATTTAATAGTCTCATTGGGTTTCTTGAAATGAAACTCTTCTCTGAGACTTGACCAAGTGGAGCCTGTGGTTTACTTGGGTTATTCAGGTTTCATCTCATTTGACTCACACTTAGGTGACTTTTTTTTTTTAAATAATGAATTGGCTTATGTAATTATGGAGGCTGAAAAGTCCCAAGATCTGCCCTCTGTAAGCTGGCGACCCAGGAGAGTCAATGGTGTAGTTCCAGTCCAAGTTTGTAGGTGACTTTTTAAAAAATTCCATTCTAAAAATGGACAAAGTGTGGAGAGGTCATGACTTGCCCAGGGCCACAGAGTAAGCAATAGGCAGGACCAGGGCTAAATTAAAGCAAGACCTATAATTCACCAAAACCCATAGTGGTTAACTACTACTTTTAGGTAATTCCCAAGGACTGCTGAAATACAAAACAGATTTTAATCCAGGTAGAAAGAAATTGTCCAAGGTGATATAGTGGGGACATAATTACTTACTTTAAATTGTTGTATTAGGGGCCCCTTAATATACTTTTCCATCCTGAGATTTGAGATTTGTTATAGCTGGGTTAGTCTGAGCTGTAGCCTAGTAATTAGGTGGGTTTAGATTTTCGAGTCAATTTAGGTTTGAGTCTCGATTCTACCACATGTATTAGCTGTCTGATCTTGGGAAAATGGATTTCCGTCCCTGAGCTTTGTTTGATCCTCTGTAAAATATACATAATACCCCATAGAGTGCTGGGCAGGATTACTAAGACATAATACATATAATGCTTTAGAACATAGGAATTCCTCAATAAATATTAGCCTTTAGTACAGGTGGTATTGCGGGTGCTGTTGCTAAGAGCATTGTGGCAAAGGAATTTGTTGCCAAAAGCATTACTAACAGCTTTGTTGTGTGTTGCTTAGGTGGGGTGTAGTTCCAGCTGGCCCTTGGAGAGTGAGTAAAGGGCCACAAGCTGCCATAAGGAAGAGAAAGAAGTGCAGTCACTGCATTGGGAACCCATTGCCCCTTGGGGAAGAGTTAACCCCAATGGCCACCATGGGCTTGCTTTATTTACCCTTTTTCTTCTTTGATGTCTGCATGTTCTATTCGGGCTTCTGTGAAAGGTCATTGAAATGAAGTAAACTTTGGAGGAAACCTTTATTTCCAGACCTGGAAAGTTCCTTTTTAGGTGTTCTCAGGGGAGAGAACTGAGCCTCCATGGAAATTCTAGGTTGGTCCAGAACTATGAAGGTGGGTACAGAGAAATTACACTGCAAGGAGACCCCATCTAGGGAGCAAGAGGAGACCCCAGCTACAGCCAGCAGAACTGCTCACCATTGATGTAGAGACTGTTCCTGTCCAGGGTGTAGGGGCCCAACCGAGTGATACCATGGGTCTGTTGGCTTAGTTCCCAATACAGCCGTTCTCTGTCCAGCCTGAAGCCTGTGGGATCTGGGCGGTAGGTGCAGACCGCATCCATTCTGGTGCTTGTTCCATCCTTGTCAGCCCTGGGGAAGGAGGGACATGGGAGTAGGAACATGAAAGACACTTGAGGGTTAGATACTCTTGACAACACCTTCAATTGTACTCCTTGGGTTTTATTTTTTTTAATTAAAAAAATTTTTTTATTGGAGTATAGTTGATTTACAGTGTTGTGTTAGTTTCAGGTGTACAGCAAAATGAATCAGTTATACGTATGCATTATATCCACTCTTTTTTAGATTCTTTTCTCATGTAGGCCATTATGGAGTATTGAGCAGAGTTCCCTGTGCTATACAGTAGGTCCCTATTAGTTATCTATTTTATACATAATAGTGTGTATATGCCAATCCTAATCTCCCAATTTATCTCTCCCCCTCTCTTACTCCCTGGTTTGAGAGGTATTTGTTTTCTACATTTGCAACTCTATTTCTGTTTTGTAGATAAGTTCATTTGTACCCTTTTTTTTCTTTAGATCGGCACTCTTCCATAGGTTTCATCTGCTTTCTTGAACATGTCTTTTTCTGTCTCATGTGGGGATCCAGATCCCCTCACCTCCTTAAGTGCAGTACTCTCTAGGGCTACTCCTTAGCTCAGTTTCTTCTTTTTCTCCCTGTTCTTTTTACTAATTGCTTCAAGCTCATTGTTTCACTACCAGCCCCTAGTACCTTCCCTGTCCACTCACGAAGGTAAATAAAGATAGTGTCCACTCTAGTTAACAGTTGAGTCCTGCTTGGGCCCTGGGGTTGGGGATGTAAAGCTCCCAGGGAGGAAACTCCTGAGAATCCTGGGGCCAGGTAGCATGTGGAAGGGAAAAGCAAGAGGATCAGAGACCTTGGAGAATGTGAGTGAATCACCCCCATGGCTGGCTGTGATGTTGTGTGACAACTATTGTGGAGCCTGAAAGGAGGGACTTTATTTCAAGTTGGAAAGTCCAAAGGCTGAGGTCAACTCTTTGGGAACACATGTTGGGTAGGCAACCAGGTTTGGAGAGAAACAGAGAAAATTAGTTAAGAAGTAATAAAGGGAAAGATGGTTCAAAAATACCTTTGTCCTGAATTTAAGCTGACCCTACAGTGATTCACCCAGCTTTGCAGGTAGGAAGAAAGTTCCCATCCCTCCCCTGTCTGGGAATTCTACTTGCTATTATCCATGCTATCCAAAGCATTCCCATGATATGTCTATACAGCATAGTGCAGTGGTTCTCAAAGCGTGGCCCAAAGACCCCTGAAGTTCCCAAAACTCACAGGGCATCCACCAAGTGAAAAATATTTCTTAGTAGTACTAAGACATTATTTTCACTCTCACTCTTTCAGGAGTATACAGTGAGATTTTTTCCAGAGGCCACAGGTGAAATATTGTAAAATATGGAATGCAGAAGCAGATATCCTTCTGTGTCTTCTACTAAGCCAGACATTTAAAAAATTTGGAAAAATATAAGCAATAACCCTCTTCTCATTACACTTTTTTTGGGGGGGCGGTAGGAGAAATATGGCTATTATTCATAAAAATATGTTATTTATGCTAACCTGTAATGGGATTATCATTTTTAGTGAATTAATGAATAAATCTTTATAAAATTTATCCATTTTTTGGTAAGCACATAAAGTTCTTTAATATGGTTTCAGATTCCAGATTGCAACCAACTTTTAATAATTACCATTTACTGAGTTTGATGCAGTTTGGTGTAGTATCAAATAAGAATATATACAATTTTCAGAAAAGACAAAATCTTTGCTTACAACTTACTGAGTTTTCTCTCTCTCTCTTTTGGTTGAAGTAAATTTCTCCATTTAAATTTCTAATACAGTAAAGATGGACAGATATAACCCTTAAGGCTCTTTGGAGTTCTGGGTACTTTTTTTTTTTTTTTTAGCTGCATTGGGTCTTTGTTGCTGCGCGCGGGCTTTCTCTAGTTGCGGTGAGCAGGGACTACTCTTCGTTGTGGTGCACTGGCTTCTCATTGCGGTGGCTTCTCTTGTTGAGCACGGGCTCTAGGCGCGCCGGCTTCAGTAGTTGTGGCTTGCAGGCTCTAGGCGCGCCGGCTTCAGTAGTTGTGGCGCACGGGCTTAGTTGCTCCGTGGCATGTGGGATCTTCCTGGACCAGGGCTCGAACCCGTGTCCCCTGCATTGGCAGGCGGATTCTTAACCACTCTGCCACCGGGGAAGTCCCTGGGTACTTTTTAAGAATGTAAAATGCTATTGAGCCCAGCAAGCTTGAGCGCTGCTGGTATTGTGGTTAAAAGGAGCGACTCAAGAACCAGAACACCTGGGTTCAAACCCTGACTCCTCTCAAGCAAGTGACTTGACTACTCTGAGCCTTAGTGTCCCGTCTGCAAGGTAGAATAATAATCGTGTTCTTGTGAGGATGAAATGAATGAAAACATGCAAACCACTTGGATTATTGTGTGGTATGTCGTATGGGCAATATTATTATTATTATTAATTCTCCCATCTTATGGAGAGATGGGGGCAGAGAACCCACCTCTTCAGCAGGATGACTGAATTGGCTGAATGAAGGACCTCATGGAAAGGCCATAGCATCATGAAGTGTAAGAAATGGGTCCTGAGCACACTGACCTCAGGGGACAGAGAGGAGAAGAGAGGCCATTTCTGCAGAGTTCAGGCCCATTAGAGAGTTTTTAAATTGCAATATATCCTACTGGTAATCTGTATTTGTTTTGTGTCCCCCTTTGGTTCAGTACCTCTTTTCAGGGAATAAACTGCAGAGCTGCAGTGTCTAGAGTTTGTCCCCAGCAGGATAGAGATGAGCTGGGGGCAGTGAGAGTGTCAGGGATTCTGGCAACACAGTTGGCAAAGATGTTACACTAGCTGGCACTGCGAGATCCCATTAATAGAATGCTCACAGTGGGTCAGGTATTGTGATGAACAATTAACAACCCCAAGAGTAAGGTACTGTTATTATCACCATTTTATAGATAATGTGATTGAAGAACAGAGAGGTTCTGTGACTTGCCCAAGATCACACAGCTAGCAGGTGGGAGAGGAGGGCTTTAAACCCAGGCACCTTTTTTTTTTTTTAACCTGCTTTTTCTTCCTAGTCAGAGAATGAAACTTTCCACTCTCTATTTTTTTTCCTTTCCACTGTGTTTTTATTTATTTTTATTATTATTTATTTTTTGCGGTACATGGGCCTCTCACTGCTGTGGCCTCTCCCATTGCGGAGCACAGGCTCTGGACGCGCAGGCTCAGCGGCCATGGCTCACGGGCCCAGCCGCTCCGCGGCATGTGGGATCCTCCCAGACTGGGGCACAAACCCGCATCCCCTGCACCGGCAGGCGGACTCCCAACCACTGTGCCACCAGGGAAGCCCCTAAACCCAGGCACTTTTGATCCTCTATGATACACAAGTAGCTGTGGTTGACCAGGGTGTGGGGGACCAAGAAAGGAGAGAATTGGCGTTTCTGGAGGTGATCTGGAGGAAGTCTCACCTGAGCAAGGTCAGTCTACAGCTGGTATACAGGGAACCAATGCTGCTCTTTTTGAACAGAGGACTGAGCTGGAAAGAATGAGAGGGGGATTAGCAGGAGGGACCAAGATAGCAGGGTGTGGTAGTGTTGGGGCAAGGTGGGCATTGGTGGGGGTCTCTTACCAGGTGCTGCAGGTCTCTCTCAGTGGCATTGAATATCTCAGAGTCCGAGTTTCCCACGTCCTCTGTGTAGTGCAGGTTGGTGATGGTGAAGTTGACAGTAAAAGGCATCAAGAAAGGAATTGCAGCTGCAGTGGTGGGGAGAGTAAAATGAGGCCAGTCCTGAGTCAAGCCTGGTCTGGGGGCAGGAGGTAAGGCTCTGAGGACATACCTTAACTCCGTTGCCCAGTTGGGGGTCTGGCCTACCTGAGACACCTCATGTAGCAATCCCTGTCCAGGGCCCTCTCACATAAGGTGACCAACCATCCCAGTTTGCTGGGACTATGTGGATTCCTGGGATGCAGAGTTGGTCACCCTACTCCCACTTCCCCTTGGCTCTTACCATTTCAGCACACACCAGCACCTGCATCTCTTTGTCTTAGGGGACTTAGGCCCAGGGATCATCCATCTAGCAATGACTGATGGGAGCTGGTGGATAAATACCCCAGCTCCCTCACCACCAAGATAGGATAACTCCAAAGTACATGTTCTGTGCATTCTCTCAGGGTCCCTCTCCAGCCTCCAGAACTGTGAGATGATAGATTTCTGTTGTTTAAGCCACCCAGTATGTTGTACTTTGTTAAGGCAGCCCTAACAAACTAATACACCAAATGACCTAACAATTTCTATTCTAGGTGTATACCCAAAAGGAATGGAAACAGGAACTCAGACAGGTGTACACCCATGTTCATAGCAGCATTATTCACCATAGCCAAAAGGTGGAGACAGCCTGAGTGTCCATCAAGAGATGAATGGACAGATAAAATGAGCTACATCCATACAATGGAATATTATTCCTCCTAAACAGGAGTGAAGTTCTGATATTCACTACAACATGGATGAACCTTGAAGACATTATGCTAAGCAAAATAACCCAGGCACAAAAGGAAAAATACTTTGGATGATTCTACTTATATGAATTATCTATAATAGGCAAACTCATAGAGACAGTAAGTAGATTAGAGGTCACCCGGGGCTAGGGGGAGTGGGGAAGGGGGAATTCTTGCTTAATGGGTTCACATACCCTGTTCAGGGTGATTGAGAACAGTAGAGATGGTTACACAATACTGTCAGTGTAATTAATGCTGCTGAATTGTACATTTTAAATGGTTACAATAGCAAATATTATTTCATATATATATATATATATATAAATTATATTTAACCACAATAAAGTTATTCTTACTTGTTCCTGAAGTCACACTCACAGAGGCCAAGGTAGAGGTTCCAGGTGTGGTCACAGGGGCAAAAGGACTTCCAGACAGTGTATTGAAGGTGATTGTGGTCTCGGCCACAGTGGGACCTGAACCTGTGGCAGCTAAATGAATGGTCTCAGCAGTGGTGGTTTTCAGGACAGTGCTTGTACTTAATCCTTCCCCATGACTGGTTTCAGGTGGTGTTGGGGTCTCTGATGCTATCAAGGTCACGGTGTCCCCTGTCACGGTCTTGGGAAATTCTGGGAGTCCAACTGAGGTTGTAGGTGGTAAGGTTTCTGGAAGGTACAGGATAAAGCCCAACATTCTGGAAGGTACAGGATAAAGCCCAACATTTGTTGCAGGGGTCCTGGAAGGCCCAAGAACGCCAGGGGAAACAGTCAGAGCTGGGGTACTTGTATTGGCCTCTGTTGCAGGCCTGGTGGCCAGTAAGCCTGTGGTCTCTGGTAAACCACGGGAAAGAGCTAAAGTTGAGATAGTTGCGCTGATGTCTGTCCCAGGATGGGTGGAGAGTGAGGCTGTTTCTGCAGGAACACCAAATGAAGCTGTTGGAGTTAGATTAACTCTGGCTGTCTTGGTCACAGTTGTGGTGAAGAGAGAGGATGTTTCTGGTGGACTGAGAGAAACAGTCTGATTTGGAAGAGCTGTACTAGTCTCCAGCCCAGGTGGGATGGATGGTGCGGCTGTGATCTCTGGTAAATGAGGAAAAATAGTTTAGTTAAAGCAGGAAGCCTTGTGCTTGTCTCTGCACTGGAATGGGTGACCAATAAGACTGTGGTTGCTGGTTCACCAGGAGAAAGAGTCAGAGGTACAATAGCCATAGTGGTGTCTGTCTCAGAGCTAGTGACCTGTGAAGTCCTGATATCTGGTACACCGGCTGAGACAGTAGGAGTTGGAACAACTGAACTGACTTCTGCCCCAAGACTGGTGGCCACTGAGAATGTGGTGTCTGATTCACTATGGGAAACATTGGGGGCTGTCCTGGGAACAGTCAGTCTAGTCTCTACAGGATGGGTGACCAGTGAAACTGTTGTATTTGGCTTCCCAGGGTAAGCAGTCATAGTTGGAATAGCTGAACTTGTTTCTGTATGGGTGACCCATGAGGCTGTTGTCTCTGGTTTGTGCATGGAATCAGTCAGAGTTGGAAAAGTTGTACTGGTCTCTGCCCCAGAACTGGTAACCAGTGAGGTCACCATCCCTGGCATACCAGGTGAGACAGTTGTAGCTGGGACAGCTGAACGGGCTTTTGCCCTAGGACTGGTGGCCATTGAGAATGTGGTGTCTGATTCATGATGTGAAACATTGGGGGTTGTCCTGGGAATACTTTGGCTGGTCTCTTCAGGATGGGTGACCAGTAAGACTGTTGTACCTGTCCTCCCATGGGAAACAGCCATAGTTTGAATAGCTGAACTTGTTTCTGTTCCAGAGTGGGTGACGTGAGAGGCTGTTGTCTCTGGTTTGTGTGGGGAATCAGTTGGAACTGGAAAAGTTGTACTGGTCTCTGCCCCAGAACTTGTGACCAGTGAGGTTACCAGCCCTGGCACAGTAGAGGAGACAGTTGGAGTTGGAGCAGCTGGACTGGTCTCTGCCCCAGAACTAGGGACCAGTGAGGGTGTAGTCTGTGGTCCTCTATTGAAAATAGATGGGGTTGTCATGGGAACTACTGTGCTGGTCTTGTCTCCAGGTCTGGTGACAAATGAGGCTGTCATCTTTGGAACATCTGGGGTTGTGATGATCATTCCTGTTGTGCTTATGCTGGCTGTTTTATCTGATGTCCTAAGGAGAGACAGCATACCTGAAGTGGGAGTAGAGACTCTGGTAGTCAAAGTCACTGTGGAAGTGGTCTTCAGAACCATGGCAGTTGTCTCTGCCCTCTCTTTCCCTCCTGTTGATAGTCCTGTGAATTGTAGGAGGGACACATGATTACTACTTACTGGGTTGGCAATCGCTTATTTTTTCTCCACATCAGGAAAGGGAGAGAAATGTCTGCCTGGGGTGTGCCAGTGATGCTTCTGGAATGGGAAAAGGAATTGTGATTGGCATTCCCTCACCCTACCTGACTCATCTTGGGCTGCAACTCCTCCATGAATTCTTTTTTTGTTTGTTTGTTTAAAAGTATTTATTTAGAACAGGAACAGAATTTTAAAACATCAGTTTATAGGACTTCCCTGGTGGTCCTGTGGTTAAGACTCCATACTTCCAATGCAAGGGGCACTGGTTCGATCCCTGGTTGGGGAGCTAAGATCCCACATGCTGTGCGGCGGCCAAGAAAATATATTAAAAAATCAGTTTATGAGCTTATTATAAATATTAAGAGCATGAAAATAAAAAGAGAACAGTGAAAAAACTGAAAATGGAAACCGACATAAGGTTTATTATTTTTTTCTCAGGTGGAAATCAGAATAATAACAACAGAAACAAAACTCAAAAACATAATGGAGTAAAACTTTCCTTAAAAAAGATCCATGCATGGGACTACCCTGGTGCTCCAGTGGTAAAGAATCCACCTTCCAATGCAGGGGATGTGGGTTCGATCCCTGGTCAGGGAACTAAGATCCCACATGCCGTGAGGCAACTAAGCCTGCGTGCTGCAACTACTGAGCTCGCGGGCCTCAACAAGAGAGCCTGCATGCCGCAAACTACAGAGCCCATGCGTTCTGGACCCCACGCACCACAACTACAGAGCCCACACTCCCTGGAGCCTGCGCACCACAACTAGAGAGAGAAAATCTGCATGCCACAGCTAGAGAGAAGCCCGTGTGCTGCAAAGAAAGATCCTGCATGCCTCAGAGAAGATCCTGCATGCCACAACTAAGACTCAACACAGGCAAAAATAAATAAAATAAATAAATAAATCTTAAAAAAATAAGATCCATGCACATAAAATGAAAGAGCTCTCTGAAATCCGAATAAATCTAATTGCCCTTTTTATTAACTATAGACACAGGTGGCAGCTATATTGCCCAAGTTCAAGAGAGTATAAATACCTCAGGACCATATTGGAATAATCACTAATCTAAAATGAGTGAAAGTAGGAGAAGGAAGAGAGAAAAAGTATGATCCAGAAAATTAGACCACTGCTCATTTTTTAACCAGAGCTGAGATGATATTTATTTGTTTAGCTTTGAAAAAAATATCTATCTATTCTGAACACACCCTCACAGAGATCCTGAGTCTGTCAGTCAGGCTATCATCTGGGCAAGTGTTCTATCACCACAGGCAGTTTCTTCATACGCATCTCTGGTTGGGAACTGACAGTTGAGAATATGATACTGAAATGGAGCAGGACCCTATTGTCTCTGACCCCCATGTCCTCAGCGTGCCTTTTGTCTGTGGAAACACTTTAGCCAAAGAATAAGTTTAATCAGAGAAGTGAGAAAATGCAGAAGCAAAGAAAAGCAGTCAAACAAGACTAAATGATAGTTTAGTCATTAAGCAAAGTCAAGGACCTTTAGGTCCTTCTCAAGGGCTATAGATAATATTCTGAGCCGTATCCTGTGAGCTGTCTTGTAGAGACTGAAACCCCTACCAGGTGGAAGAAATTAACTACATGATGACCAGACCATAGCCATGACATAAGCTGACACAATTCCGAGAATTTGCCTCAAAGAAATGGAAACAAACTGGCCCTAAAACTGTACTTAAAACAATCAAGATGATGCTGGTCAGACCACTGATGACCAATTTCAAGATGACTGTGAGAGCAGACTGTGCTGTTTCTGCATGTAGCCCCATCCCTCTGTCTATAAAAGCTCTTGCCCACTGGTTGTGGGGGTGGGAGTTGGCCTTTGGACAGGAGGCTGCCCTCCCCTCTCCCTGCAATTGCTGGCATCCAAAATAAAGCAAACTTTCCACCAACCTTGCCTCTTTATTGGCTTTTGAGCGGTAAGCAGTTGGGCCCCACTTTCGGTTACAAATAATAATATCATAACTGGAGACCTCTCATTTGTTAAGTATCCTATATTAATTATCATTTTAAACCTTTAAAATTATGATTACATAGTAATCACTTTTATTCTATGGATGAAAGAGCCGATCCTCAGGGAGGTTAAAATTTTTAGATAGTACATCCGAAGACTTGACTTTATTTAATGCACCCAATACCTATTTTGATGTAGATATTTCTCCCCACACTTTACAGATAGGAGCTTAAGCAATATATCCAAGATCATCAAGTAAGTAGCTACTGGAACCAGTACGCAGAGATTTTTTTTTTTTTTTTTTTTTGCGGTATGCGGGCCTGTCACTGCTGTGGCCTCTCCCATTGCGGAGCACAGGCCCCGGACGCGCAGGCTCAGCAGGCCCAGCCGCTCCGCGGCATGTGGGATCTTCCCGGACCGGGGCACGAACCCGTGTCCCCTGCATCGGCAGGCGGACTCTCAACCACTGTGCCACCAGGGAAGCCCCGCAGAGATTTTTTTTTAAATTAATTTATTTATTTTTGGCTGTGTTGGGTCTTCATTTCTGTGCGAGGGCTTTCTCCAGTTGCGGCGAGCGGGGGCCACTCTTCTTCGCGGTGCGCGGGCCTCTCACTGTCACGGCCTCTCCCGTCGCGCAGGCTCAGTAGTTGTGACTCACGGGCTTAGTTGCTCCGCGGCATGTGGGATCTTCCCAGACCAGGGCTCGAACCCGTGTCCCCTGCATTGGCAGGCAGATTCTTAACCACTGCGCCACCAGGGAAGCCCCCGCAGAGATTTTTGATATTTAATTACATCTAGAGTGTCAATACCAGGATTTAAACTGTTGTTCATGTAAGCCTAAGAACTTTACCTTTTTCGATAAACTATTTAGGAAGTGAGAAGGAGATCCTGGGAAGTTTGGCCAAGCACGGATAACCCACAAGACTGTGGTTAACGTTGCCATTCGCTAGGGAATGAGGTTACAAATGGATTAAAAAAATTTTTTTTGGCTGCGTTGGGTCTTCGTTGCTGCGCTCAGACTTTCTCTAGTTGCGGCGAGTGGGGGCTACTCTTCGTTGCGGTGCACGGGCTTCTCATTGTGGTGGCATGTCGTTGCAGAGCATGGGCCCTAGGGTGCGCAGGCTTCAGTAGTTGCGGCATGTGGGCTCAGTAGTTGTGGTGCGTGAGCTTAGTTGCCCCGCAGCATGTGGGATCTTCCTGAACCAGGGCTTGAACCCGTGTCCCCTGCATTAGCAGGTGGATTCTTAACCACTGTGCCACCAGGGAAGTCCCACACAAATGGATTTTTTTTTTTTTTTTTTTTGCTGTACGCGGGCCTCTCACTGTTGCGGCCTCTCCCGTTGCGGAGCACAGGCTCCAGACGCGCAGGCTCAACGGCCATGGCTCACGGGCCCAGCCGCTCCACGGCATGTGGGATCCTCTCAGACCGGGGCACAAACCCGTGTCCCCTGCATCGGCAGGCGGACTCTCAACCACTGCGCCAGCAGGGAAGCCCACAAATGGATTTTTGAAAATGGGTTTCAGGTTGTTTTTTTTTTGTATTTATAAAACAAAATCCTCAAAGTTCTAGTCACTTTCTATAAATTTCTCTGATATATTTATTGTCTCCTCAATGCATATCAGTCAGAGAAGTAGATGTGGGAACTCCTCCATGAATTCTTGACCACCCCCTGTTTCCAGATGTTCTCTGAGCCTTTGTTCAAGCTGTTTTCTCTACCTGCCATGCCCATCTCTCATAGGTTTTATGTTCTGCCTTCTTCAAACCCTAGCTCAAATCTACCTTTACAAATCCATGTAGGAATCCATCTCTCCCTTCTCAATGTTTCCTCATCATACTGTCTGAACCTGCACTGTACCACCCCTCCCAGTCTGCCTGGTAATATCTACTAATGTCTGACTGCTTGGCATATTGTAGGTGCTCAACAAATATTTGTTGAATGAATGAACAAATACATTGTTGAATATGCACATTAGCAGGTCTCCTCTGACTTGAGAGAGATCATGTATCTTTGTGCTTAAGAGCTTGGGCTCTTACGCCACATTAGTGTTCTGACTCCTCCACTAAACAGATGTGTGGCTCTTTAAGTTGTCAGATCTTGCTAGACCTCCATTTTCTTATCTATAAAGTAGGAATAAGTACAGTGGTCATCTCAGAGTCTTGATAAAAATGCACCAAGCACAATGCCTCCTGTTTTGTAATAAGATGTTACCACTACTACCACTACTATTTATCTACTATTACCACTGTTATTACTACTCTTGCTACTACCTACTACTACTACTCTTACTACTCTCACTGCCTCTACCTACTATTTCTGCTGTTATTACTACTGTTACTACTACCACTGCCACTACCTAACATTAGTGCTGTTACTACTACTGTTACCACCTATTACTCCTGTTATTGCTGTTACTACTACTATTACCACCTATTACTACTGTTATTGCTACTACTGCTGCTGCTGCCTGCTCTTACCTACTATTGCTAGAGTTATTGCTACTGTTAGTAGGTACAACCACACATTATTACTACTCCTGCTCTTTGGACTTCTAATATACAATAAATGTTTACTAAATTGAATTTGCCAGGAGCCATGCTAGCTGGCCAAGGTGACTGGAATTCAGTCTCTGAGGAAGAGTAGAGTGATATTGGCTGAGATAGCAGCTACTCACCAGGCCTTCAGAAAAGGTCCCCAGGAAGGAGGAACAACTACAGGGAGGCTTCTCTATAAAGACCACAAAGCCTACTGGGGTTTGCTGCAGGGAGAGGGACAAAAGGAGGAGGATTTGGACTCTGATGGTGGAACCATGTCCTTGTGTTGCTGGGTATACCCTAAAAAACATCTCCAAGAGTACACATCCTAATGTGTTTAATATGTATTTGATGATAAAGATGATGAGGAGCAAATTACCTAACATGCCTTGTATTTTTGAGCCTCACAAGAACACTGAGTGTATATCCTATTATTCTTGTCATTTTACAGACCAGGGAAAAGACAGAAACTCAGAGATCATCATTTGCCAAGATCACACAGCTACTGACTGATAGTGTGGAAATTTGAACATAGTTCTCTCTGCATCCTAGACCTATGCTCGCAACCACTGCAGGTTATTAATTCCCTAACCGAGTTTCAGGATCTTGTGGGGGCCAGGATGGAAAGGAAGGATGTAAGGAGAAAATGACCATGGGGGTGGGGTCCTCAAGGATTCTCTAATTTAGGGGTCTCAGCCTGGGGCAGTTTTGCTCCCAGGAGACACTTGGCAATGTCAGGAGGCATTTTTGGTTGTCACAGCTGTGTGTATATGGAGGGTGCTACTGGCATCCTGTGAGCAGAGGCCAGGGATGCTGTTGAACATCCTACAGCCCCCTACAACAAGTAGTTATCTGCCCAAAATATCGATAGTACTGAGGTTGAGAAATCCCGCTCTATATTGAAAGAAGCCAATGAATATGGTTAGCTATACCTCATAAACTTTGCCATCTAAATATTGGTTATCACCTGAAGCTCAGTGATCCATTTCCAAGTGATCTGGTGTAGCCAACTGGCAATGCCTCACTCACATCCCACAAGCACTCACTGCTGCAGTACGTAATCACAACGGGATCCTAATGCAGCCCCTGTAGCTCTGCACCTAAGGGCTTTCACTTAGCCTGTGTGTCCGGCAGGCTGGAAGTGCTGAGGGTTACCTCCAGGACCAAGCAGCCCATGGCCAGCAGGAAGGAAGTTGGATGATAAACACTCCGGCCACTTGGCTAGGTGAGGTGTTCTATGCTGTCTCCTAGAGGTCCCGAGTGGAACTGACACTCTTTTGCCCACAGCTGTGACCTGCTCAGGAAAGCACCTTGCATTGACTTCCTTTCCTTCTCTTCTCCAGCGCTTCCTGGGACCAACCCCCACCTAAAATAAACTACTTGCCCACATCCTTAACTCATGTCTGCTTCTGCGGGGAGCCAACCAAAGATACCTGGGTCACAGCATAAGACTAATAACCTGACTGGTAGTGACTCTGTCCAAAGCCTGGATCTGGCAAAAAGCTTCCAAAATGTACTGGTAAAATAGTCTGGTCTCTAAAAATGTTGGAAAATGGGACGTCCCTGGTGGCGCAGTGGTTAAGGATCTGCCTGCCAATGCAGGGGACACGGGTTCGACCCCTGGTCCGTGAAGATCCCACATGCCGTGGAGAAAGTAAGCCTGTGCACCATAACTACTGAGCCTGCACTCTAGAGCCCCCGAGCCACAACTACTGAGACCACGTGCCACAACTACTGAAACCTGCATGCCTAGAGCCCATGCTCTGCAACAAGAGAAGCCACTGTAATGAGAAGCCCACACACCGCAATGAAGAGTAGCCCCTGCTGGACGCAACTAGAGAAAGCCTGCGTGCAGCAACAAAGACCCAACGCAGCCAAAAATAAATAAATAAATAGATAAATAAATAAAATTTTAAAAAATGTTGGAAGAAACTTAATAGGTATGGGGAACTTTACCTTTTAGCCATGTGGTGAGGAGAACCCCTCTCCTCACCGTGCACCTCTTAAACACTCATGCAGACCAATAATACTGTAACATGTTAGTAGGTGCTTTTCAGCAAAAAAAATTATACAGTCAAATAATTATGTAAAACCCTGTGTTGAATAAGGCTAAACAAGTTTCTTTACAGCAGGATATCTCAGAGCCTTTAACATGCTTATGCATGTTATTACCCTCTAGGAAGGAGCAACGTTTTTGTTTTGTTTTGTTTTGTTTTTTTGCCACACCATGCAGCTTGTGGAATCTTAGTTCCTTGACCAGGGATTGAACCCGTGCCCCCTGCAATGGAAGCACAGAGTCCTAACCATTGGACCGCCAGGGAATTTCCAGGAGCAACATGTTTGTCAGACTTTTTTGGCCACAAACTTTTTGTCCTCTTGTTAAAGGGCATCCAAGCATTACGAGGGCTTAAAAGGTTTTCTGAATGTTGTTTTCTGCCCGTCTACAGTCTCATCTCCCACCATCTCATCTGCATATTTCATAGTTTAGCAAAGGTGAATTATTTGTACCTCCCAAATATGTCCAGATTTTACCCTTCCCTGTGCCTTTGCATGCAGCTCTCCCTTCTGTCCAGATTGTCTTCATCAGTTCTCCTTGTCTTCCTGCTAAATTCCTCTTCATCGTTTCAAACCCAGCTCAAATGTTACCTCCTCCATGAAGCCTTCCTTCTACCATTCAAGTACTTTAAAGTTGCATCATATAACTAATAAGGACCTACTGTATAGCACAGGGAGCTCTACTCAATACTCTGTAAAGGCCTGTATGGGAAAAGAATCTAAAAAAGAGTGGATATATGTATATGTGTGTAACTGATGCACTTTTCTGTACACCTGAAACTAACACAACATTATAAATCAACTATATTCCAATAAAATTTTTTTTAAAACTTGCATCATAATTATTTTTTTCCTTTGCTGTCTCCTGTACTGGACTGAGAGCTCCATGGATGCAATGCTGATCTATTTTCATCTGTGCATCCTTAGTTTATGTCATAGTTTCTAACACACAGTAAATTATTAATAAGCACTTTCAGAGTTAAGTTAAACTGGGTCGGATTTGTGAAGCTGACATATCCAACCTTGAACTAAACTCACTCAGCATGTTATGAGGGAATGAAAAGTAACATCTACCTGGTAACAACTTGACAAAGATTCAGTTGAGACAGGGAAGCCCATGGCAACTCCACATAGTTCTTTCTCTAAAGAAACAAACATTTCATCCCTCTGGAACAGGAAATAAAGGCACAAGTCGGATTACTGGGAAGTAAGCAAAGTTGAACCTACCTCTAAGACTAGCAGACGTGGATGCCAGGGGGACATGGACGGTGGTGTCTCCATGTGCTGCTTCATTGCGTATCTTTGTGATACGCTCCACAATGCCATCAGTCCCTGCAGGAGAGGGTAGGGAAGAGACCTAGAGTAACTCATCTCATCCAGAAGGATAACATGGTCTAAATAGATCCACTTAATTTGACTACACAACGCATTTCTTCTCAACCATCTGTATGGATTGGAACCAGGGCTGTGTTCATCCATTCACACAGAGATTCATCCATCTTTCTGTCCATCTATCCTTATATCTACCCATTTATTCTTCCATCCATCCTTCCTTTTATCCTTTCTTCCTACCATGCATCTTTCCTTTCATATTTCCTCTTTCCTTTCTTTGCAACTTTTCATCCCTACAGTATTTCCTTCAATCTTTATTTCCTTCAGTCCTTTCTTCCATCCATCTTCCTGATTTTCACCCTTCCCTCTATACATTCATCCTTTCTTCTATACATCCATCTTTTCTTCTTTCATTTATCTATCACTCCATTCTTCCTTTCTTCCTTCCTCCCATCCAACCACAGTCCTACCTTCTTTCCATTCCACTCATCACTTGCTTACTGAACACCCATCACTCAACTATCAAGCCACGTTTTAAGACATGGGTCAATAGCCATCAGTGTGTCTAACCTGCTTGTGAATTGTTAAAACTAGTTTGGGAAATAATCAAATCACCCTTCTGTACATATTGTCTAGTGAACAGGTGCTGGAGTAGTTGGGGGGCCTTGTTGGATTTGTGTCCAGAACAAAATCTGGCGTCAAATTCAACTTATACAAGGAATGGAATCCTCCCACGAACTTCCCTACCTCATCTACTGTTCTTTTGGAGGTGGTGTTTCTCCTCCTAGGTCCTAAGTACCTCCCACATCCACAGGTACTTTGTTCTCTCGATTTTCATTCACTCACCTTTTTCTTTCCCTTCTCCCTTGCTGACTCTCTTCTCAATATAGAAACATGCTCAGTTTAAAGGAGGAATCTCTCCTTTTATCTATGTATTATTTTATCTGTTGTTTCAGTCCTCTAAAACTCATTGATGCTCCCTTCATTAGAATCCCTGAGGACCCACATGTTGTCAGAGAACTTGTCACCTCATTTCAATTTGGCTATTCTGTAACATTTGATGGAACTGACCATCCCTCCTTCCTAAAACTCTCTCTTCCTCTGGCTTCTGTGAGGCCAGAATCTCTTGCTTTTCCTCCTATCTCTTGGACCACTCCTGCCTAGCCTAATGGCTAAGAACATGGGTTCCTAGTGCCATATAATCTGAGTTCTTATCACTTACCAGCTTTAATGATCTTGATCAAATTACTCAACCTCTCTCTGTATCAGTTGACTCATTTGTAGAATGGACTTATAATAGTCCCTTCTCAAACTGTGTTCCAATGAGGAATTTAATAGAACAGCATTTGACACAGAATAAGTGTTCTATAAACATTTGTTGTTATCATTATTGTCATCATCAACATTAGCTGTAATGTTACAACACCCATCATGGTACTATAATTATTCAACTACTTGCTTATTTAGCTTTGTTCCCCCAGTGCTTATTTCAATGCCTGAACATGAAAATAGATCAACATATATGTTTGCTAAAGGAATTTCTGGTGCAGTAATAAACTCCTAATTAACTCCTTTTTACCTGTTGGAAAAGAAGCCATTTTCTATGAGCCCCAAGTAATGAGAGTGTAGGAGCAGTGGGTCCTTACTTGTCAACCGGGTTGAGTGTGGAAGAACTTGAGAAGAACTTGTCACTGTTCCCAAACCAACACTCTCTGTCATTCTGGTATCCGTAATGGGTGGTAAAGTTGTCCTGACTGGCTGCGTCCAAGTCTGCAAAGTACTGGCTGTAACCAAGGGTAATGCAGCAGTGCTTTGGCTCTCTGCCTCAAGGTTGGTGTCTACTATTCTTGGGGTAGCTGGTGAGGAAGTAATCCAATGGGGGAGTGGGCTGGTTGAAGAATCAGTGGTACGGAAGGTCAAAGAGGGGAATGGTATTGAAGCTGAAGAAGGTAGACTCTCTGCAGTGGTGGGCATAGTAGCATCCCCAGGCCCTGATTCTGTCCTAGAAAATGGACTGACTGAAATGGCACCTGGAACTCCAGATGTAGCAAAGGAAGCCATGGCCTCTGACAAAGAAGGTGTTAGTGTGTTATTAGCAAAAATGGTCTCAGCTGAAGACAGTATATCTGTGCTTAGGTAACGTGTATTTTCTGATACAGGCACAGAAAGATTGGATTCTGGGACAGTTATGCCAGCAGACCTTGTAATGGAGGGAGAAGTGTAAAAGCGTGTGACTGTTTCCACTGGAATGTCTGTATACTGTGTAGACAGAGGCTGACCTGGTGCTGATACTTTCACAGAAGACGTAGCATCAGTCCTGGGACCCTTCAAACCATGAGTGGACAGAGGCGATGAAGGTGTGTTTGTGAGTGTGCTTGAGCTGGAATCCAAGACTATTCTTGTCTCCTTCAGTCTAGGAGTCAGATGGGAAACTGTCTTCGTCTCAAAGGAGGAACGCATTGATGTGGAAAGAGTGGTCTCATACACGGAGGAAGCAGTACCCATAGGATATGTGGTGCTGGAGGACTCAGGAAAAATTGGGACAGAGGAACTTAGTTCATGTCCAGAACTGCTGGAACCCACAGTACTCATTATTGTGTATACGGGAGGAAGAATTTTCGCTGTATATATGGAGAATTCAGAGGTGGACAGTATCTCAACTGTGGGACTACTCAAAGTTGGAGGTAACGTGGTCACTGCTCCCAAGGTTATACCCAATCTGTCTTCGGTCTTCCCCAGACCACGGGTGAGAACTGAGGTCACAGGTGTAGGAGAGGAGGGGCTCCTCCCTGGTAATGTGGATGTCTCAGGGGAGGGTGTTGTCCTGGCAGGTACAATTACTGGGGAGGTTGGAGAGCCAGTTTCTTTCACAGAGGCAGGGCTTGGCCAAAACGCATCCTCGGCACCTCTGCTGCTGAGAGTGGTCATCTCTGGGTGCATAAAACTCTGAGTCACAGTCGAGTGAATCTCCACCCCTGTGGTATTAGTTGTAGCGCCCAAGGTAAGTGGGTCCTGTGAAGTAGCCTCAATGGGACCTGTTTGGGTGGTCATGGCCACTTCTGCAGATTCTGTCGTCACAGGAGAGGCAGAGGACCTGGTGATCAGGCCTTCAGGGATGTCTGGCGACATCGTGGACTGAACAGGGCCAGCGATGGGCGTGCTGCTAGAGGAGATGGGTTCGGTCCTAGAGATCTCCGTAGTCATATCAGGGGGTACTTTGGAAGGTACGGCGATTTTCTCTATGGCTGAGCTGTTCTGCTGGACAGTGCTGGTGTTCCTCAGTTCAGGAGTCAGAGAGGATGTGGAGTCTAGCTCAAACATTGTAGTTTCTAAAGAGTGAGGCATTGATGTGGAAACACTGGTCTCCGTACGGGTGGAAGGAGTAAGCATTGGGGACGTGACACTGGATGGCTGTGAGTCAGCTGGGGCAGAGGAATGTGCTTCATGCCCAGAATTTGTATTGGCCCCGTGGGTCCCAGCTGTGTTCTTGGAGGGCTGAATTCCATCTGTACCTGTGGAGGCTTCAGATGTGGACAGTATCTCCTTGGTCGTGCTGATCTCACTTGAAGGTGAACTGGACACAGGTTCCACACTTGTACCCAATGTGTCTTTGGTCTTCCCCAGACCACGAGTGAGAAGTGAGGTCTCAGGGGTAGGAGAGGAGGGGCTCCTCCCTGGTGATGTGGATGGCTCAGGAGAGGGTGTTGTCATGGCAGGTACAGTCAGTGGGGAGGATGGAGAGCCAGTTTCTTTCACAGAGGCAGGGCTTGGCCAAGACACATTCTCGGGACCTCTGCAGCTGAGAGTGGTCATCTCTGAGTTTGTAAAACTCTGAGTCACTTTCGAATGAGTCCCTGCCCCAGAGACCTTGGTCGATATGTCCAAGGTAAGTGTGTCCTGTGATGTAACCCCTGGGGGACCTTTTTGGGTGGTGATGGTCATTCCCGAAGATTCTGTCATGAACCTGTATGTAGAGGGGCTGGTTCTGCTTTCTGTAGTTGTGCTTGGAGAAGTTTTGAAGTGAGCAGGGCTTGGGATAGGTATCCTGCTAGAGGAGGTAACTTGTGTCCTGGTGACCTCAGTAGTAGCATCATTTGTGGACACATTGGAAATGACAGTGCTTGTCTCTGTAGCAGAGCTGGTCTCCTGGTAGGTACTTGTCTCCCTAAGTCCAGTATTCAGAGAGGATACTGACTCTCTCTCAATCTTTATAGTCTCAGATGAGCCAGACATTGATGTGGGAGCAGTAGTGTCCCACATGGCAGAGGAGGTAACCACTGAAGATTTAGCTTTGGGTGGCTGTGTGGGGGCCAGGACAGGAGAATGTGATTCATGTTCACAACTGGTAGTCTCTACATGTGTCATTGCTGTGTTTGTGGAAGGATGAATTGCTTCTATATCTGTGGTGACAAACATCTCATCTGAGCTACTCCTCAAATTTGGGGGTAAACTGGTATCAGTTTCCAAACTCGTCCTCAACATGTCTCTGGTCTTCCCCAAGCCGAAGTTCTCAGGCAAGAGACCTGAGGTCACAGGTAGAGTAGAGGAGGTACTTTGCCCTTGTGATGTCAACAAAACATGAGAAGATGAGGTTGTGTCAGAGATAGGTGCTAGGGAAGAGGAAGAGGTGGTTTCTCCCACAGAGGGAGGGTTTGTCCATGACACACCTTCAGGACCTTTGCTCGTTTGAGTGGTTATCTTTGACTGTGGAAATCCCTGAGTCACAGCCAAGTAAGTCCCTGACAAGGAGTCTGTGGCTAATGTGTCCATGGTAGGTGCACCCAGCAATGTAGTCCCTGAAGGACCTGTTTGCATGGTGATGGTCATTCTTTCAGAGTCTGTTATGTCAGGGAAGGTAGAGGGCCTGGTGATGTCTGATGACCTTGTGGACTGAGCTAGATCTGGGCTAGAAATTCTGTCAGAGGTAGTGACTTCTGTCCCGGACACCCTAGTAATAGCAGAAGAACTTAGGGAATGGACACTACTTATCTCTGTGGTTGAGTTGGTATCCATGTAAATACTGGACTCCCTCAGTTCAGTGGTCAGGGGGTAATCAAGCTCTCTTCCAGCCCTTGTGGATTCTGGCCAGGTAGTTGCTGATGTGGAAACAATGGTATTCAGCATGATGGAGGTAGTATTCATTGGATATGTGCCCATGGATGACTCTGAGTGTGCTGGGACAGTGGAATGAAGATCATGTTCAGAATTTGAGGGCCATACTGTTGTATCTACTGTGTTTGTAGATGGGTGAATTGTCTCTTTGTCTGTGGTAGGTTCAGAAGTGGCTATTCTCTCATATGTGCCATTTTTCCAATTTGGAGATGAAGTTGTCCCAGATTCCAAGCTTATGCCCAGTATATCTGTGGTCTTTAATAAGCCTGGGGAGTCAGTAACCTCCTTGATGGTCCCTCCTGAGACAGAAGAGACATTTATCACCTCAGTGTTCAGAGATGTGCTTGAGCTTGATTCTTCTTCCCTCATCCAGGAATGAGATGTAGCTCTTGCCTCTGTTGTAGGAGTCCTTATCCCATTCACCCGGGGAATTGGATATGGAGTTCTTACTGTATATGGGATTAAGTCCAGAGTTGTTGCTTCTGGTCTAGACATATACCCTGGATCTGCAGAAGCTGTGATGTGAAGCTGGGTAGAACTCTGCTCTACTTCTTTGCTGGCAAGATCTGGCCTCCCTGATAAAGTGACTTTAGAGCTATTTACCATTGTAACAGGTGTGGCCTCACTTGTAATGTTCTCTGTGGAGGAGGGCAGCTGTGAGGTAGTTGGGCTGATCATGTTCTCCAAAGGGAGTTCTGAAGGAGTTGTAACCTCCTGAAGAACTGAGGTAGAGGTTATGGCTGATGACACAGAACTCCCAGTGGCCCAGTCAAGAGTGGACAGAGAATCAGGCAGAGGAGTGGATGGGAGGATCTTTGGGATAGTCTTTGTATTTGGATGGTCCATGGAAGCCACTGAAACATGCAAGGCTTCTGTTTCTCTTCTACTGGGAGTCCAACTTGTGCTTAAAATGTCAGGAACTGAGGTGCTCATCCTCTCAACACCAGAAGTTGAGATGGGCATAGATGCAGTTGTGTCTAAAGGACTCAATGTCCTTACACTTGTGCTGGCCTCTGTCTTTTCAGCTGAAGCAAAGGAGGATGGGATGGTTAGGCTGGTTCCATTGACAGTCACAAGGCCATGGGGGGTAGACACAGAGCCTGATTCAGTGCTTGACGCTATGGATGAAGTTGTGCTCATTGCAGAAATTGCTTTAGGAGAACCTGTGACTTCCAAGATTGAAGCCATGTCTGTGATAGTCCTGGGGCCTGATGTTGGGGCAGGAGCAGCTGTGGATGACCAGGTGGGTGGGTGCTGTAGGGCAGATGTGCTGGTCTCTGTAGCCAGGGTGCTGTCCATGGTGCTCACACTTCCTTTTGGGCCGGGCATAGTAGTCAGGACTGAATTGGTTTCCATAGTGGTGATCGTGGTGGTGACAAGAGGAGTGGGAGCTATGGTTACCTCCATGTTGCTCACTCCTGCAGGATATGAGGTCTGTGATAGTTGCCCAAGAGTAGAGGCAACATCACTATTTACTACACTTGTGATGGTTGCCAGTGTCGTAGACCCCACGGAGGGGAATGTGACAGATGGTGAAGAGCTCATTTTTCCCCCTGAGGCATTGGTGATGCTGGTAATGTCTTGGCTTTCAGAGGTCAGAGATGCTAATGTGGTTTGTTCTACGGAGCTTTTATGCAATGTGTCTTTGGCCTCAGGGGATTTATCAAGAATCAGGTTACTCCCAGTTGTCTGCTCTGACCATGGGCTAGCAGATGAATAAGCCTCACTCACAGATATACTTGCCTGTTGTTCATCTGTCATTGTATCTTTACTCAGAACAGTGGAAGGAATGACTGTGATGTTGACCCTTGTCTTGGTTATAAATTCAGATTTATCTGTCACTGAGCTCATGGTTACCATCTGGGTTGTCACAGAGTCCGGGATGGCCACAGGGTCTTCAGGACCAGTGGAAGATGTGTTCAGAGAGACATGTGTGTCCACGGTGGTCCCTCCAGTGGAGCCAAGCCACGTGGATAAATTCATTCCAGTTGTCCTTGGAATCAGATTTGGGCTTGTTTGTGGACCAGTCCCTATGTTGCCTTTAGGATTTGACTCTCGGGAGACAGAGGACACTGTGCCCAATGACTTTTTGGTCCCTTCTGGAGTCCCAAGATGGGGGTTGGTCCCAACCTCAGATTGGGAGAGTGAGACCCACTCTGTAGTTGCTGTCCCTTCTGTTGGTGACTTGGCTGGTGTCATGAATCCTGTGGGCAGGTGAGAGAGGCTGATGCCGCTACTCTCTATGGCTGTGGACTGAAGTGTGACTGGTTCCACTGTGGTCTTCATAGGGACAGTTGCTGTTGAAGTATTCCAAGAATTTCCCAGAGTGTACTTCATTTCTGGGCTGGTGCTGGGCTCCTTGGAACTTATGATTTTGAAGGCTGTAGCCATTTCTGGGCTTCTTGTGGGCATACCTGTGATTGGAAAGTGAATTGGTAGGAGATATGCAAATGGTACAGGAGTCCTGATTGACAGTATCATTTGTTCCTTCCTGTGATTTCAACTCAAACTATTTCCTATTTCTCCAGAAAAGAAAATGTTAACCCTCTCATACCACATTTCAAGACTCTGGACACCAGGGAACATACTGACCATCCCCAAAGATGGATCAAAGTGTTAGGGTTAGTGGGGTGAGGGCTTTGACCCTCTTGTTTACTCAGAAGAAATTGTTACCTGGAACTCAGTGTACTACATACCCTACAAAGAAGGGCTCTTTGTACAAGTAAGGATGTGATGAACCTGGACTCTACCCGTGCACGAGGCTTCCCCTACCCTATTTTACTTTTCTCCTTGGAGCCTGCCCTTGCGGAACCAGTTTCAGCTTATAACTTCGAGCCTCCGCTAGATGCCCCAAATCTTAGTTCACTGAAAAGCCACTTAAGGATTTATATTTGAGAAGCAACAGAATAGAAGGGTGATAAAATTATTTTCCTTTACCTTCATCCTCTTTCAGATTCATCTCCCTCTCTGAACCCTTTTCCTATCGTTGAGGTAAAGGGCATGTAACTGCCACAGGGATAAGGAAAGCTCGACCTAAGAGCACTCTTTTCTACATTATCCTCACCAACTTGGCATAGCCAAGGACCATGATCCCTTCCTCTACTGTAACAAAAGAAAACTGTATCACCTCAAGTCTGTCTGTGCCCTCCCTGTCAACACAAAATTCCAGTGAGGATCTCCGATTTAGAAAGATCCTTCACCCTGGTGCAAGAGAAAGTGTGGAGGGAACTGACCTTGTGGCATTTTCTCCTGCTGAATTGATTGGCTACTAATCATATAAATTACTGAGTGAAGCAATAACAGTGTTCCGTTAATACAATCTCTAGGAAAAAAATAACCAACTTTAGAGTGACAAGAAGCCAAAGAAATCGATTTCAAACCTAGTCATTTTACTTCCTTAAACAATCCAATTTTTGACCCCAGGGATGAAGAGAGAGGACCCAAATGGGTCCTCTTAGACTTGAAGAAAATAGAGATATGCTCTTACTTACCCACATTGATCATAGTCGTAAGAGATGAGGGGTTACTGGTTGGCGAAGTGGTACCTCCATATTCTCCTTGACTCAGCTCCCTGGTGGTGCTTGCCACAGACTCATCAGGGCCTGAAGTAAAAGATAGAGGTGTTACCTTTGCATTCCCTAAGAATACGGACCTATAAGGAACATTCTCACTAGACACTGGCTTAGCAATGCCCTCATTTGTCTCTGAGAAGGCATTTAAAGAGTAACTGTCTTTTTTACATGAAATCAAACCCTCAAGATGGTCATAAGGGATGGAAAGCTTTTTGTTAATTGTGGGGACTTCTGATCTGATTGGTCTCAACATATAAATTTTTAAAACTATCTGTCTCCTTAGAACAAGTAGGGTCTTCATCACTCTATTATACCTTTATTCATTTTGAAATATTCATATATAACATGAGTTAAATCCAGCAAAATTGTTGTAGTTATTGAGGAGTCTGGCTCCTAGGTAAAAAGCTGTGTGTGATTTTTCAGGCCCAACCATAGGCAATTACCTCAAGGATATTAACTTCAAATAGGAAATCTGTCCTCCCCACACCAGACTTTGTGCACAGCCAATACACTGAAGTTGCTCTAGACAGTTGCAGTCGAGGACTTGGGTCCCTCTTGACCAGCCATACTCTTATGCATTCCTAGACCAGGAGCCTTCATTCCTAGGTCTCTTTATTTATTATTATTTTTAATAGATCTTTATTGGAATATAATTGCTTCACAATACTGTGTTAATTTCTGTTGTACAACGAAGCAAGTCAGCCATATGCATATGCATGTCCCCATATCCCCTCCCTCTTGAGCCTCCCTCCCATCCTCCCTATCCCACCCCTCTAGGCCATTGAAAAGCACCAAGCCAATCTCCCTGTGCTATGCTGCTGCTTCCCACCAGCCAACTATTTTACATTCGGTGGTGTATATATGTCAATGCTACTCTCACTTCGCCCTAGCTTTGCCTTCCCAGCTTCATGTCCGTTTTCTATGTCTACCTCTTTATTCCTGCACTGCAACTAGGTTCATCAGTACCTTTTTTTTTTTTTTAGATTCCATATATATGCGTTAGCATACGGTATTTGTTTTTCTCTTTCTGACTTACTTCACTCTGTATGACAGTCTCTAGGTCCATCCATCTCACTACAAATAATTCAATTTCCTTTCTTTTAATGGCTGAGTAATATTCCATTGTATATACGTGCCACATCTTTATCCATTCATCTGTCTATGGACACTTAGTTGCTTCTATGTCCTGGCTATTGTAAATAGAGCTGCAATGAACGTTGTGGTACATGACTCTTTCGAATTATGGTTTTCTCAGGGTACATGCCCAGTAGTGGGATTGCTGGTTGTATGGTAGTTCTATTTTTAGTTTTTTAAGGAACCTCCATACTGTTCTCCATAGTGGCTGTATCAATTTACATTCCCACCAACAGTGCAAGAGAGTTCCCTTTTCACCACACCCTCTCCAGCAGTTATTGTTTGTAGATTTTTTTTTTTTTTTTTTTTTTTTTTGTGATACGCAGGCCTTTCACTGTTGTGGCCTCTCCCGACGCGGAGCACAGGCTCCAAACGTGCAGGCCTAGCAGCCATGGCTCACGGGCCCAGCCGCTCCGCGGCATGTGGGATCTTCCCAGACCGGAGCACGAACCCGTGTCCCCTGCATCAGCAGGTGGACTCTCAACCACTGCGCCACCAGGGAAGCCCTTGTAGATTTTTTTATGATGGCCATTCTGATGTGTGTGAGGTGATACCTCATTGTAGTTTTGATTTGCATTTCTCTAATGATTAGTGATATTGAGCATCCTTTCATCTGTTTGTTGGCAATCTGTTTATCTTCTTTGGAGAAATGTCTATTTAGGTCTTCTGCCCATTTTTGGATTGGGTTGTTTGGTTTTTTGTTTTTAATTTAATTTAATTTATATTTTATACAGCAGGTTCTTATTAGTTATCTCTTTTATACATATTAGTGTATATATGTCAATCCCAATCTCCCAATTAATCACACCACCACCACCCCACCCCCACCACTTTCCCCCCTTGGTGTCCATATGTTTGTTCTCTACATCTCTGTCTCTATTTCTGCCCTTCAAACCAGTTCATCTGTACCATTTTTCTAAGTTCCACATATATGCGTTAATATACGATATTTGTTCTTGTCTTTCTGACTTACTTCACTCTGTATGACAGTCTCTAATCCATCCACATCTCTACAAGTGACCCAATTTCATTCCTTTTTATAGCTGAGTAATATTCCATTGTATATATGTTACACATCTTCTTTATCCATTTGTCTGTCGATGGGCATTTAGGTTGCTTCCATGACCTGGCTGTTGTAAATAGTGCTGCAATGAACATTGGGGTGCATTGTCTTTTTGAATTATGGTTTTCTCAGGGTATATGGCCTGTAATGGGATTGCTGGGTCATATGGTAGTTCTATTTTTAATATTTTAAAGCAGCCTCCATACTGTACTCCATAGTGGCTGTATCAATTTACATTCCCACCAACAGCGCAAAAGGGTTCCCTTTTCTCCACACCCGCTCCAGCATTTGTTGTTTGTAGATTTTCTGATGATGCCTATCCTAACTGGTGTGAGGTGATACCTCATTGTAGTTTTGATTTGCATTTCTCTAATAATTAGTGATGTTGAGCGGCCTTTTTTTTCATGTGCTTCTTGGCCATCTGTGTGTCTTCTTTGGAGAAATGACTATTTAGGTCTTCTCATTTTTGGATTGGAGTGTTTTTGATATTGAGCTGCATGAGCTGTTTATATATTTTGGAGTTTAATCCTTCGTCCGTTGATTCATTTGCAAATATTTTCTGCCATTCTGAGGGTTGTCTTTTTGTCTTGTTTGTAGTTTCCTTTGCTTTGCAAAAGCTTTTAAGTTTCATTAGGTCCCATTTGTTTATTTTTGTTTTTATTTCCATTACTTTAGGAGGTTGATCAAAAAAGATCTTGTTGGGCTTCCCTGGTGGCACAGTGGTTGAGAGTCCGCCTGCCGATGCAGGGGACACATGTTCGTGCCCAGGTCCGGGAAGATCCCATATGCTGCGGAGAGGCTGCGCCCATGAGCCATGGCTGCTGAGCCTGCGCGTCCAGAGCCTGTGCTCCGCAACAGGAGAGGCCACTACAGTGAGAGGCCGGCATACCGCAAAAAAAAAAAAAAAAAAAAGATCTTGTTGTGATTTATGTCAAAGAGTGTTCTTCCTATGTTGTCCTCTAAGAGTTTTATAGTGTTCAGTCTTACATTTAGTTCTCTAATCCATTTTGAGTTTACTTTTGTGTATGGTGTTAGGGAGTGTTCTAATTTCATTCTTTTACAGGTAGCTGTCCAGTTTTCCCAGCACCACTTATTGAAGAGGCTGTCTTTTCTCTATTGTATATCCTTGCCTCCTTTGTCATAGATTAGTTGACCATAGGTGTGTGGGTGTATGTCTGGGATTTTCATCCTGTTCCATTCATGTATATTTCTGGTTTTGTGCCAGTACCATATTGTCTTGATGACTGTAGCTTTGTAGTATAGTCTGAAGTCAGGGAGTCTAATTCCTCCAGCTCTATTTTTTTCCCCTCAACACTGCTTTGGCTAATCGGGGTCTTTTGTGTCTCCATACAAATTTTAAGATTTTTTGTTATAGTTCTGTAAAAAATGCCATTGGTAATTTGATAGGGATTGCATTGAATCTGTAGATTGCTATGGGTAGTATAGTCATTTTCACAATATTGATTCTTCCAATCCAAGAACATGGTATACCTCTCCATCTGTTTGTGTCATCTTTGATTTCTTTCATCAGTGTCTTATAGTTTTCTGCATACATTTCTTTTACCTTCTTAGGTAGGTTTATTTCTAGGTATTTTATTCTTTTTGTTGCAATGGTGAATGGGATTATTTCTTTAATTTCTATTTCTGATTTTTCGTTGTTAGTGTATAGGAATGTAAGAGATTTCTGTGCATTAATTTTGTATCCTGCAACTCTACCAAATTCATTGATTAGCTCTAGCAGTTTTCTGGTGGCATCTTTAGGGTTCTCTATGTATATAATCATGTCTTCTGCAAACAGAGACAGTTTTACTTCTTCTTTTCCAATTTGTATTCCTTTTATTTCTTTTTCATCTCTGATTGCTGTGGCTAGGACTTCCAAAACTATGTTGAATAATAGTGGCAAGAGTGAACATCCTTGTCTTGTTCCTGATCTTAGTGGAAATGCTTTCAGTTTTTCACCATTGAGAATGATGTTTACTGTGGGTTTGTCGTATATGGCCTTTTATTATGTTGAGGTATGTTCCCTCTCTGCCCACTTTCTGGAGAGTTTTTATCATAAATCGGTGTTGAATTTTGTCAAAAGCTTTTTCTGCATCTATTGAGATGATCATATGCCTTTTATTCTTCAGTTTGTTAATACGGTGTATCACATTGATTGATTTGCGTATATTGAGGAATACTTGCATCCCTGGGATAAATCCCACTTGATCATGGTGTATGATCCTTTTAATGTGTTGCTGGATTCTGTTTGCTAGTATTTTGTTGAGGATTTTTGCATCTATATTCATCAGTGATATTGGTCTATAATTTTCATTTTTTCTAGTATCTTTGTCTGGTTTTGGTATCAGGGTGATGATGGCCTCATAGAATGAGTTTGGGAGTTTTCCTTCCTCTGCAATGTGTTGGAAGAGTTTGAGAAGGATGGGTGTTAGCTCTTCTCTAAAGGTTTGATAGAGTTCACCTGTGAAGCCATCTGGTCCTACACTTTTGTTTGTTGGACAATTTTAAATCACAGTTTCAATTTCATTACTTGTGATTGGTGTGTTCATATTTTCTATTTCTTCCTGGTTCAGTCTTGGAAGGTTATACCTTGCTAATAATTTGTTCATTTCTTCCAGGTTGTCCATTTTTGGGGCATAGACTTGCTTGTAGTAGTCTCTTGTGATGCTTCGTATTTCTGTGGTGTCTGTTGAAACTTCTCCTTTTTCATTTCTAATTTTATTTTATTTTATTTATTTATTTATTTTTGCAGTACGCAGGCCTGTCACTGTTGTGGCCTCTCCCATTGCGGAGCACAGGCTCCGGACGCGCAGGCTCAGTGGCCATGGTTCAC